CGAACTGCGCTATTAATTTGAGCACCCGAGATTCAATACTCGGCTATGGCTATCATCAGTAGTGAGTGATGTATAAACTTGTCTCAGGCCACCCATTCACCAATCTGAGCTAACCAGCGTGGTGAAGTATGACCAAACAACCCCCGATGGTGGTGATGTTGTACAGTCGGGAGAGAGCTTCATCAAGCAGTGGAATGACATGTCTGTAAATGAGTATGTGAATGATGAGTGTTGCTATCCAATGTTTTTATCCATAATACTACGTGTTGATCGATGTCCAATGTTTCATACCATGCCCTGGGAGCCAAATTCAGTTCCTGAATGTGGAATGTTGAGGAATCTTACGCATATTAAGCAACACCTTTCCATCAATGTACATTAAATACCATATGGCCGTGATAAAATGTCCCACATGAAGTGTGAGCTATATACACTACACGCTATTTTGTGCAATCTGTTTCTAAGGTGAGAACGCAGTTTGAAATTTATTAGCCATGAATGGTGTTATGTTTTAGTAAATTCGAACAGAATATTACATTTACCAAGTATTAATATAATTACGTGCATGACTAACAATTTAAAAGGGAAACTTTTTTGTTATTTGTTGAAATACATTATTACAGAATCATGAATATAATAAAATGCATATAGTTTTACTACCCGTACAATGTGGCATCTTCTATATACTGTTATTTAGCGCTAATGAGGAGAGCTCTATTGTCACAATAAAACTAAAGCAGATGCTCTCCTTAATGAATTATGCATGCTAATATCCTTGTGTTCTCCATTTCGGCGGTTCATGCTGTCATTTTATGACATTTTAGCACATGATCTTTACTCCTTTGCAAATTTGATATTTTTGAACATTTCGGGGGTATTCCTACATTTTTCATTAAGCCCCAAATTCTTAACAGGTTTTCACCTTCTCTCTCATTTTAGCTGAGAGTCTAACCACAAAGAAGTTTACCACCCATGTCTTATGTTTATAGTTAGGGTTAATGAGCTTCGATAATGAACAAAAAAACAAGGCAAAATATATTCCCAGAAATGTTTCGTATTATCAAAGAGAATGAGTAAAAAGATGAAAGGTTACATCATGTGCGTCTCTTCTACTGTAGCGCTGGTAAACTGAAGATCAATTTGTCAGCAACAACGGACGAGTGGGAATGCTTCTCTGACTTACTTTCAGGGTTCTTTCTTTCCACTGAAGAAAAAAATCTTAGTTTATTCTCAGAGGAAGATCATACTTGTTGAGAATATTCCCAGAAAACACTGCAGCATTTGCCCAGGTGGCAGCTCACACCGCCACCAATGGCAAGTTTCCTATTACAGTCAGACCTTGAGCATCCCCCAAATGTTTGTGTCCCGTAAGGTGACCTATGGCACAACCACAACGCATAACAAAAAAAAAACGCAATACATTAATCAATAACACTGCTCTAAAAGGAGAAAAAAACGAATCAGTGCCATACTCATTGGTTTTTTCGGTAAAGTCACGTATGTAGGAATACCAAAAAAATTATATTTAAAAAAATCAATCACGACGTTTCGACCGCATCAGGTGCAAAAAAAACTAATCACGGAGGTAAATACAACAAGAAGATGAGAGACGAGAATTCAACAAACCTAAGAAAAAACATTATGTGATGCACAACCAGTCAGGTCAACAACAAGGTTTGTTGAATTCTCGTCTCTCATCTTCTTGTTGTATTTACCTCCGTGATTTGTTTTTTTACACCTGATGAGGATCGCTTGTGTTGCGGTCGAAACGTCGTGATTGATTTGTTTTAATATAATTTTTTGGTATTCCTACATACGTGACTTTACCGAAAAAAACCAATGAGTAATTTATGTAGTCACGAAAGCTTTAATTCTTTATTAATCAGTGGCATGTTTGGCAATGGCTCTGTTTAAATATATAATACGCAAGTTATCAATTTATGTTGGAGATGCGTTGCTGGACAATACGACGTGATGCGAAAGAATGTGAATCAAAACCTATTTTTATTCTAGATTTAGAGCTTTCGTGACTGCTAGGATCCATACTCTTTGGTTCTATTGGGTAAAGTCACGCAGGTGAAAATAAAATAACAAAAAATCACGACGTTTCGGCCACAACACAAGCGGCCTTCATCAGGCGAAGGGACGAGACTGTCTGGAGGACAGCGCTGGAGTGGGAGAAGCCACGCTTAGATCAGGACCTTTAAGCTTTGTGAGAAGAAAAACACAAAGCGCCTTGACAAAGGAATTAGCATATAATTTTAATCGTGATTTTTTGTTATTTTATTTTCACCTGCGTGACTTTACCCAGAACCAAAGAGTACCTATTTTTATCATTGATGTTATTATACGAATTTAGGATACATTCCTGGGGGGTCATTTTTCTGGAAAAAAATTGAAGAAATATAAAGTAATGAACAAAAAAAGTTAACAGAAGATACCGGCAAGTTTAAATGAACAATATAAGTGAATACAGAGTACCCACCAGAGATGGTGGTGGATATTGCATTTAGGTGGTTGTGGGGTGAAGTGGAGTTGTACAGTACACAATATGGCGGCAATGTTGTACAGTATACAGTTTGGTGGCGGTGATGTACAGTATTCAGTTTGGTGGCGGTGATGTACAGTACACAGTATGGCGGCGGTGTTGTACAGTATACAGTGTGGCGGCGATGTTGTACAGTATACAGTTTGGCAGCGATGTTGTGCAGTACAAGTGTGGCAGGGATGTTGTACAGTAAACAGTATGGGGCGATATTGTGCAGTACACAGTATGTCGGCAATATTGCACAGTATACAGTTTGGCAGCGATGTTGTACAGTACACCGTGTGGCAGAGATGCTGCACTGTGCAGAGTATATGGTAGTGGTCTTGTACAGTACATCATGTGTCGGTGATGTTGAACGGTATACAGTTTGGCAGCGATGTTGTACAGTACACAGTATGGCGGCGATGTTGCACAGTACACTGTATGGCGGTGGTCTTGTACAGTACACCATATTCAAGTTTAAATTTTCATTTATTAGGTATAGCCCTGTGAGCCATGCGGCTCTTAAGTCGGGTGCAACCGAAACAAACAAAATATGAATACAGAACATCCTAAAGCGACGACGCGCAACAGAAACATCCTGGAATTCAACCAGCAGATATTCCACACAAAACAATTATTAAAACGCTGTGTGCGAAAATCACAATGTGGTGCAAGCCAACAACAACAACAACCAAAAGACAATTTAGATTAGCCATATGTTTTCGAATTTCCAAAATAAAGCTGCTAAAACAATGTAACAAGAGTAATCATAGGAACTGTGATTTTAAATGTAACAATAAACGATATACATAACACGTACGACAAAACCTGCAGCCATAGCTGGCAGCACGACACTCCCAGTGTATGATGTGTGAGTGAGTCAGCAGCAGCGTGAGAGTGTATGATGTGTGAGTGAGTGTATGATGTGTGAGCGAGTCAGCGGCAGTGTGAGTGAGTGTATGATGTGTGAGTGGGCCAGCACACGATGAGTGAGTTAGTGTATGATGTGTGAGTGTATGATGTGTGAGTGAGTGTGTGATGTGTGAGTGAGTGTATGATGTGTGAGTGTATGATGAGTGAGTGAGTGTATGATGTGTGAGTGAGTGTATGATGTGTGAGTGAGTGTATGATGTGTGAGTGAGTGTATGATGTGTGAGTGAGTGTATGATGAGTGAGTTAGTGTATGATGTGTGAGTGAGTGTATGATGTGTGAGTGAGTGTATGATGTGTGAGTGAGTGTATGATGTGTGAGTGTATGATGAGTGAGTGAGTGTATGATGTGTGAGTGAGTGTATGATGTGTGAGTGGGCCAGCACACGATGAGTGAACCTGTGTATGATGAGTGTATGGGTCAGTGGTTGTGCGAGTGTATGATGTGTGAGTAAGCGCATGATGAGCGAGTCAGTGTATGATGTGTGAGTGAGTCAGTGTATGATGTGTGAGTGAGTCAGTGTATGATGTGTGAGTGAGTCAGTGTATGATGTATGAGAAAGTCAGTGTATGATGTGTGAGTGAGTCAGTGCATGGTGTGAGTGAGTCAGTGTATGATGTATGAGAAAGTCAGTGTATGATGTGAGTGAGTCAGTGTATGATGTATGAGAAAGTCAGTGTATGATGTGTGAGTGAGTCAGTGTATGATGTGTGAGTGAGTCAGTGTATGATGTGTGAGTGAGTCAGTGTATGATGAGCGAGTCAGTGCATGATGTGTGAGTGAGTCAGTGTATGATGAGCGAGTCAGTGCATGATGTGTGAGTCAGTGTATGATGTTTGTGTTATGGTCGAAACGTCGTGAGAATTTTATTGTTTTACATATATTTTATTGTTTCCCCTTCAACGTGACTTTACCGAAAGAGCTAAGAATATGAATTACTGCAGTCACGAAAGCTTTAAATAAAAACTTTGTGAGGGTGTATCGCCCACTCGGGGAGCGCTGTGGCCTAGTGAGTCATCGCGTACGCCGCCCAAACTCCTTCGTTTATTTTATTTACATTTGCCGAAACGACGTAGCAGTGGCTCTACGCATTGTAAATTGAACCCACGTTCCCTAATTCATTGACGACGTTATAGTGAAGCAACGTAATTAGAGGGCTCTCTGTACCTTTCTTCGATTCAGAGCGGCGTTGGTAACGAATGCGTTTAGTGTTTTTTTTTTGGGTTGTTCTTGTGCACCACTACCAAAGGTGTTATCACACGTATTGTGCCTTTTAACTAAGACAGGAAATGAAGGCCATGCTTCATCATTGATTTTCGGGCCAGATCATGTAAGTAAAATCTGTGTCGTACACCCTCCTCCACCCGACACAGACCATTTTTAAAGTTATCACTTGAACAAACTTGCCCAATGTATTACTGCTTCAGCAGCACTGGTGCGTTTGTTCACATGCCGACTTTTTTTTTAAATGGCTGTGTTCCAAAAGCTTACTTGTTAAAATTAGGTTATGTCTGAACGTGCGTGGTGTCTGTCTCGTAGAGGCCCATGAGGTTTGTGAAGAAGACCACTTCTGGGTAACCTGGAGGAGAACAGCAGCCGGAGAATCAACAGGAACGCTCTGCCCTCCAAACGCCACAGGTCTGTGAGTCACCATCGTAGTCACCTGTTTGTTCAAATACCTACATGCAAGACAAATGACCATAAAGGCATCGTGGGTCATTGTTAAAAGGACATTTACTCCAAGGCCGGTGAATACTTGTTCCTGTGAATTATGGCATTGCACCTGCCTTTACACCCATTTATACTCAAAAGATATCCACTTCATTGATGAATCTTTTTTTATTGGTGTGTTTTTGCTTATGCTTACATGCAAGGTTTAGACAATGAGACTAAATATTTATCTAATCGAGCGGAGCTCCATTTAAACATGTGTGTGTATATGTTCGCAATGTATACATGTTTTTATATAATTGGTTCTTTGCTTGCTTGTACATATAAAGTGATATTAGAGCCTTGCTGCTGCTTCTTCTTCCTGTTGTCTTCCTTATCTTGAGTCTGTCTTCCTTGTTTCTCTTTCTCCTTCCTCTCCTGGGCCATCATCTCCACATCCACTCCGCACTATTTCTCATCTTAGCTCAGCACTGCGACCCACGTCTCTCTACGCCGGTCTCTTACTCACTGCCCTGTTACTTTCATGATCACCATCATTTTTCTGATGTAGTTTCCTCGCATCATATACCACATCCTATCCATCTAAGTCAACTTTATTTAGGCTTGTTTGTGATGGGAACCACCCTTGCCCTATTCCTCGTATCTTTGTTTCTGAACCGACCTTGTCCAGTGATGCCTGAGATCAATATCATCATCGTTATTTGTGTGGGGCACAACATTTACTTTTTCACTGGTCTCATATACTTTCGATTTCACGTGATTGGTTCTCGAAATCCTCGCTCACTCTCCATGTGTATAATACTCTGTATGTGTGTATATGCATCAGTATGAAGTGAAAAATCTCAGAAACGAGTCATTTAAAAAAAGTAGTTTTAGCATTTCACGTTTTACTGATCCTAACTTGTTTTATTTCTAATGTCAAATTAAATTAGTATAATGTTCTCTGTGTGCCAGGAGTACTCGTACGAAGATGTGCCCTCACTGAGAATGGTGTGGCCTTTTGGGAAAGTCCAAGTTTTGCTCGTTGTGTGTCATACGAATATCGTAATCTGCAGCAAGACGTAAGTGCCAATTTCATTGTGATTTTTTTTGCAAGAATGTCCAAAGCACTAATTGCTTTTGAGGCACTTTAATTCTGCTCGTGGGTATTTGACGACTAATGAACATGGGTTTTACATTTGCTGCAAATAAAATCTGTACCATGGTTGTGAGAAGTCTTTCGTTGTGCATGGCAGATTATGGAACATTTGTCCAAAGGCCACCGCATTCTCGCGGGAGAAGGGATGTCCCAGGTCACCAAAGATCTCCTGGATTTGTCCCAGAAGAAGAGGGGTTACAGTGGTGATCTTTTGGCCTCTGTGGAAATTCTGGCAAATGTGACGCAGACACTCAAACGTGCCAACTACAACCCGTCTTCTGAGGACGTTCAGGTAAGTGCCACAAAGTGTCAGCTGCATTTACCAAAGCCTCGATTGTATCGTTTTGTCGAATCTACGTTCTTATTTATCGCGTGTATTTCCAGAAGGTGTTAAGCTGGTGTTCTTCGGTTCTCTGATGTGTTTTCGGTTGTACAATGAGTGTTGTTAAGCATGACGTCTGACGGTTCGCTGCACGTGCTGGGAGCTTTATGTGTATTGAATTGAGAAAATCCCAGCACATTGTGGAGAACCAAACACGCGGTACAATCACCAAACGCATCACAGGGCAATACAAGCACGAACGCCTATGCAGGAAAGTATTATTTTGGGGGGGGGAAGTTCGGCCATGTTAAGAGGCCATTTTAGGGAAAGAGCCTCATACAATCGAAGGATGTTTGATGCTGCTTTACATTAGCCAGATGCATTTGAAGAGGCAGGCTTACTCACGATTCGCTCCAGGTAAGGCCCATTGAACTAAGAAGCTATTTTCAATGGTGACCCAGCTAAAGTGGCCATCCTGTACAGGGATAGCAGAGAACATAAGTAATATAAAAAAACTTTAAAAAACACGCTTTAATGAAATGTACCGTACTAGTAATGGAAGAACTCCACGACTCCAGGAAGTGGCCCCGAAGCTTGCCACAATGTAAGGGGGCCGTGGTGATTTACAGCCAACGTCAGTTGACCGTGGACAATTAGACCCAGCCGAAACATAACATATAAAAATTATGTTTTAAAATGTTTATTTTTTTATGATAGAATATAGTATTGTCATCAGTATGACAGAAGTATACCAAGTTTGCAGTCGATACCACATTGGGAAGTGGGTTAAAATTGAGTTACAAGATTTGAGGATACAACGACAACAGAGTGAGTTAAATAAAAGCGTGTAATAATAATAAAAATCAGGGAAATTATAGATACAGGGCTAACAAACAGCCAGAACTACGTACAGTGAAATTATAGTTAGCAAAACCCCAATAACATTACGCATTACACTCGTGAGAGGAACTCACATATGGTATTTACAGTGGCATTTAAACCCAGCATGAATACAATTTAATTGTTTGTTTTAAAGTAACTGGCACGCCCCGCACATTTCCATGGGACACACAACCAGGGCTGAGGGTGGATGGGGGGAGGCATGCCGTCAACACTAATGGCCCTAATAATTGATATGGTTGCAAGTTTTTTTCTGTATAAAAAGTACAAAGATCCCCCATATAGCCTTAAATACTTGTGGGGCAAGTGCTATTAGCGGGTACCTATTAAGCACGGCACGACATACGAGGGGGTGGGTGGCCAGCACCACGCCCGGCCGCCTTTGTCTCTCTAGTGGCTATATTTACACACTGTACCAGGTACTAATTTTAGGCACAGTCGACCTTGGGGAGGCCCAGGACTCGTTGATAAATTTGTCACTGATGTTGGTTGTGAGCGCGAATTGAACTCGGGTCACCGGGTTCATAGTGCAGTATGCTAACCACTACACTCCCGCTCCTCACACGTATAAAGTACTCATGCACTGATGCACACACAGAGCCTCACTTTAAACGTACTGAAATTATTAAAATGGAAAAATTTTACTTTTTCAAATAAGCTGAGTCGAGCATGAAAAAATAATTGTTGATTTAAACATGAAATAATGCTATGGCTACATGTCCAATTCGTTTTTACCGATGTAATTATACATATTACGTAAATTATATACATTCTTCCAATTCTAGGCTATCACAATATTGTATGCTGAAATTCCAGGGTTCCAGCACTTTTTTATTTCCTGGAAATTAAAAGTATACTATAAAAAACACATTATTTTAACATTTCACATTAACTGGCTCTTTATGTATGCAAATACTAATACGAAATATTCAATGCAGTAGCAAGAAACTAATGGAAATGCATAGGAGTGTTTTAAATTACATGATCCTTTGTTGGTATTGTATGAACTATAGATGGCACTGTGTAATTAGGTGTCTTATTGGCAGGAAAGTGTTTTAACCCAGACATTGTTATATCATACACTCTCATTGTATGATTCAAATATATGTAAGTGAATGCCAAGTTAATTTTAGGCAAACTGATCTTGCGTAAGGTGGAGGAAGAATGAATGAAATGTTTTCTTCATCATGGGACCTCTTTTGCCAGTACCAAAACATGAGAATAGGTTTTACCCTTTTTCTGGCAACATAACAGGTGTTTAGATGTTAAAACACCAAACTGAAACCTTTTACAATAAATCATGTCTGCATTAACCACAATACTTGTGGTCAGAATCCAAACAAAAAACATACTCTGATCATATATGTGGCATTGTCCTTGAAACTGATTGGTCCACACCAGAGACAGCTTTCTTTTGAGCCTCGTCTCAAAACGGTATTAGACCAGAGGACGCCAAAAGGCGAACAGCACAAAGACAATGCAATATTAGAGTAATGAGAGCTCGGGGTGAGCAGCTACATCATGGGACCTCCTTTGTCATTACCAAAATATGATAATAGGTTTTCCCCTTTTTTTCTGGCAGCTGTCTCTGGTGTGGACCAATCAGTTTCAAAGACAATGCATATATTATCAGAGTGTTTTTTTGTTTGCATTCTAACCACAAGTATTGTGGATAATGCAGACATGATTCCTTGTAAAAGCTTTCAGTTTGGTGTTTTAAAATGTTAACACCTGTTTTGTTGCCAGAAAAAATGGGAAAACCTCTTCTCATGTTTTCATCATGTGCATATGTTTGTTCGTTATTGTAAGAAACGTTCACATTTGCCCATGATTCAAGTTTTAATACCATTAAGATTAAACAGTAGGGATGCCACCTTTGAGGTAAAAAACCAGGACATGTCACATCACAGGTAGAATAATATCTCACGATACAAGAAGACGAGATAACGACATTAACACATTGTCTTGAGTCGTGTATTTTATTACGTAACTGACAAAACCATGGATTTTTTTTAACGCTCTGTGAAGATGTACAAATATCTCAGGACAGCTACCTCGACGAGAGAATGATCTTGGGAAAACCAGGACAGATGGCAACTTTATTATAAATTATATTTGACATGGGGTCAAGGAGTGGCAAAGTGGTTATCACACTGCCCCATCAACCTGGCGATCTTAGTCAGATTCCTGGCCGTGGCTCATGCATGTGGCAGGTGATGTTTTACTGGTTTAGAAGCCCCACTTTACCAACCAATATTGCCCAGCACAGTGAATTACGGTTACAAAAATAGCCTCCATGAGCAAAATGCAAAGGGGAGGCCTTCATCTCGCAGTAAATTGGCAAAAATCTACAAATGAGTATTGTATTACCGATATACATGAATACATTTTATATTGCAGTAACGATTTTTTTTGTGCCATTGAAACAATGGAGCAAGTTTCGTACATCTCTCCACCTCTGTCCACACGGTGGGGTGAATTGTGGGTAACTTTCCCGTCTTTTAATGCGTCTATCTGACGTGGTAGAGTCAGCCATAGTACCCTCCACAGGGACTTTCTAGAGCTTTTTGCAGCAATGGCGTGAGTAAAAAGTAGCAGGGTTGCACCTTTACCCAATCCTCCCTGCTCTTCTTGAAGTGATCACATCCTTGAGTGATCATTACATTTATGATGCAACATATAAGCAGCCATGCACATTTTCACGTAATGGAATTTGGCACACCTGACACCGGGAAAGAAAAAAAAACCCCAGGCCGACTCATTTTGTTCCACATCATGGAGTTTAAATAAAGCTTCGCCCTGGGACCACTGCAGCATTAATGTGATTCAGGAGCTGGTATACTAATGCTCACATAACAAGCCAGGATTTTATTTTACCAATCGATGTGGATTCCGTTGTGGGAATCATTCTTGTATTTAGTATTAAAAAGTGAGAACTACATATATTTTTAAACAAATGTATTAATATAAATTACTAATTTACACCAAACCTTGTAGTGTCATAAGTAATCTTCCATCTTTTTTTTAGGATAGTCAACATTTCATAGAGTGAGGGAAAAAAGTATTTGATCCCCTGCTGATTTTGTACGTTTGCCCACTGACAAAGAAATGATCAGTCTATAATTTTAATGGTAGGTTTATTTGAACAATTAGAGACAGAATAACAGCAACAAAATCCAGAAAAAACATGTCAAAAATGTTATCAATTGATTTGCATTTTAACGAGGGAAATAAGTATTTGACCCCCTCTCAATCAGAGAGATTTCTGGCTCCCAGGTGTCTTTTATACAGGTAACGAGCTGAGATTAGGAGCACACTCTTAGAGGGAGTGCTCCTAATCTCAGCTTGTTACCTGTATAAAAGACACCTGTCCACAGAAGCAATCAATCAATCAATCAGATTCCAAACTCTCCACCATGGCCAAGACCAAATAGCTCTCCAAGGATGTCAGGGACAAGATTGTAGACCTACACAAGGCTGCAATGGGCTACAAGACCATTGCCAAGCAGCTTGGTGAGAAGGGGACAACAGTTGGTGCGATTATTCGCAAATGGAAGAAACACAAAAGAACTGTCATTCTCCCTCGGCCTGGGGCTCCATGCAAAATCTCACCTCGTGGAGTTGTAATGATCATGAGAACGGTGAGAAATCAGCCCAGAACTACACGGGAGGATCTTGTCAATGATCTCAAGGCAGCTGGGACCATAGTCACCAAGAAAACAATTGGTAACACACCACGCCGTGAAGGACTGAAATCCTGCAGCGCCCGCAAGGTCCCCCTGCTCAAGAAAGCACATATACATGCCCGTCTGAAGTTTGCCAATGAACATCTGAATGATTCGGAGGACAACTGGGTGAAAGTGTTGTGGTCAGATGAGACCAAAATGGAGCTCTTTGGCATCAACTCAACTCGCCGTGTTTGGAGGAGGAGGAATGCTGCCTATGACCCCAAGAACACCACCCCCACCGTCAAACATGGAGGTGGAAACATTTTGCTTTGGGGGTGTTTTTCTACTAAGGGGACAGGACAACTTCACCGCATCAAAGGGACGATGGACGGGGCCATGTACCGTCAAATCTTGGGTGAGAACCTCCTACCCTCAGCCAGGGCATTGAAAATGGGTCGTGGATGGGTATTCCAGCATGACAATGACCCAAATCACACGGCCAAGGCAACAAAGGATTGGCTCAAGAAGAAGCACATTAAGGTCCTGGAGTGGCCTAGCCAGTCTCCAGAACTTGATCCCACAGAAAATCTGTGGAGGGAGCTGAAGGTTCGAGTTGTCAAACGTCAGCCTCGAAACCTTAATGACTTGGAGAAGATCTGCAAAGAGGAGTGGGACAAAATCCCTCCTGAGATGTGTGCAAACCTGGTGGCCAACTACAAGAAACGTCTGACCTCTGTGATTGCCAACAAGGGTTTTGCCACCAAGTACTAAGTCAAGTTTTGCATAGGGGTCAAATACTTATTTCCCTCATTAAAATGCAAATCAATTCATAACATTTTTGACATGCGTTTTTACGGATTTTTGTTGTTGTTATGTCTCTCACTGTTCAAATAAACCTACCATTAAAATTATAGACTGATAATTTCTTTGTCAGTGGGCAAACGTACAAAATCAGCAGGGGATCAAATACTTTTTCCCTCACTGTAATTACCATTCACATAATAATGCGAGCTAATATTGAATTCAATGCAGCATTGCTTTTACGGCACACCCTATTGCAATATACGTGTATCTATAGTTGCAGCGTGTGTGGACATAAAATGTGTATATAAATGATAGTAAGTATAATTAATTAATGGGTTACTAACCAAGTCCATTCATTTAAAATACAGTACAGAACCTTACAGTTTTTTGACGGCCGATGCTCTCTCTGCAAATATTGGGAAAACAATGGTTATTCAATTGCCTCCTGAACTTAATAATCATTATGAAGTTATTATTCATAATTATAATTAATAATTATCATGTTCAAATTATAATCAAAGAGCCCAAGGTACTATTGCCATGAGTTATCCTGGAATATGTTATGAAATTGGTTACTGTATAGGTCAACATCTTGGCTGACCGGGGCAAGACATGCTGCATATGAAGGATGTTATCCAATACCAACCATTTGAGTTGTTTTATAAATATGTAATATAATACATTCCAGAAGAATGACGATGTATACACTGTATCACTTTCCAGAACTTGCAGTGCTTATATCCATTTACGTCGTTCCATCCATGTGTACGCCATCTCAGGCTAGCACACGTAATCTGCCCATTATATAGTGGGAGACAGCATTTTATATCTAACTACAGTAGCCTTGGTAAGTGCATTTGATTTAACCTCGATATAGCATTCTCTAACTCATGGTTCGTGCCTGTGTTAGTGCGAGCCAGAAATTGGGTTTTTTTAACCATTATAGCACACAGCAGATGGATCGAAATGCAGTTTGAACGTCGTGCTGTAGTTTATTGTGATTACAAGGTTATATTTGTTGAGGGTGCATTACGCCTGGCTTGCTATATATACACCTTATATGTCATTCCGCCCTCCTTTTGAAAGTCCCACTGTATTCTGGGTGCTTGAATAACAATACAAAATGCTGACAAGGTGTAAATGAGATCTTGTTGATTGCGGGAGGAGCAACGGCACTGTGCGGCACTTCCGATTAGCGCGGTTGGCAACGTACGGTGCGAAAGAAGTTCAAAGTGCGCACGTGCATAGGGGCCGTCCATAAATGACGTCACGCACCTGGGGGGGGGGGGGGGGGTCAGACATTTGTGACGATGTGTGACAAGGGGGAGGGGGGGGGTTGGGAAATGTGACGTCACATTAAAATGCGTAACTTTAAATAAATATAGACAACACGTTCTACTTAATTAAATAGACTTTTTAATAAATGTTTTCTCCTCCAACATCAGAGTGCAGCGCCACATTAAATACGCACTACAATGACAATAGTTTAAAGCGATTTGAAGCATTTTTTATTTTCAAAATAGAAATATGGTTTTGGGGGGGGGGGGCAGATCTTTGTGACGTCATATTTGAGGGGGGTTCTGACTTTTTGTGACGCCGTGTGACGAAGGGGGGGGGGCGGTCAAAAATCGTCCAAAATCGCGTGACGTCATATATGGACGGCCTCATACACAGCGGCATCGGCACGACAACCACGATTTTGCTTCCCCCATCCCGCTAGCCATCGCTGGACGAGCGAGCTTGGTAACTAAAACGGTCCCAGATACGCGTCTCACAAACCCACCACTAACTTTGCTGCCATGGTGAAGTGCGGTTAAACCACCCGCAACACTGACACGGCAGTGGATTGACAGAGGGTTGTTCATTTTTTTCGTATTCGTTCTCATCAAAGGTTCCTACGTAAAAATGTCACGTTTCATGGTGAGCTGCGACGCATTTATGTTATAGCAAGACGTATTATTGTCTTACCTTGATTGAGCTTCAGCGTACAGATTGCACTGCAGAGCACGTGTCTTTTTTTTCACGTGCAAATTTATGCGGGCATAAGTCCTCTTAGGGTGCTTCTGTTGTTGTTTCATGGTTAGCACACTGGGCTTGCAATACAGAGCTCACCGGTCAACCTCCCAGTGTGACAGTCGAAACAACGGGCAAGTAGCTTAAGCCTCCCTACCCCAGTCCACCAAACAGCATACATGGGTGAATCACAGTTGATCAGTTGGTCGCATCTCGTGGGGTAAAGTGTGGGTATTCCCACCTCTTTCAAGTAGCCTGGCCAGCATGGAAGGGCTGGTCAATTAGCTGTCTAGAGTTCCCTCTCGTGGAGGCCCTTTCACCAGCAGTGGCGTGAGCAAGCAATTGCAGGGCTGCACCTTTGTGTTTGGATTTTTTCTGTCGGTGAGTGGCAATAAAGAGTGTATTTATCGCCAACAGGTAGGAATAATTTGTTTTGCAAGATAGACCTAGGCAACGGTAGTTGCGTAAGGACAGTGAATCATTGATGCACTATCTTTGCACGGATGGATATGTCGTTTGAGACTTTCAATGGCCAATACCGTGAATAATCCTTTACATATATTCATAATTAAAACGTTCAGATTCAATTGTACCGTTCTACGTTTGCGTGATGTAAAAACATTTCTACGTTATACTTTCATATTACTCTGATGATAAAAAACGACGTTTATTAAATTTGCAGTGACCATGTCTTTCCTTGTGACAATTATTTTCAGAATTTTGTTCAAGTCGTCAGCAATTTGTTATCTGAAGAGAACAAAGAGAAGTGGGATGATGCCCAACTGGTAAGCAACTCACATTTATGTTAAATTATTATAAAACATCTTATTCCATAAGTTCATAAATGGTTTTCAAAATGAGTATTATTCTGACTTTTAACAATTTTAATATGACTTACACCGTTTTTCGACACCTCCAACTTTATAATTCCGTGGAATAACTTGCAGAATAATTATTTATATTATATTCGTGATATATATATGAGAAGCTCAACATTAGATTATGCAATAATGTCGTAATGATATGCTAAGTAAAAAAAATATGTATGAAGTAACCTTTAAATATTTTCATTCTGCAGATTTATCCTGCTTCCATTGCACTGATGAAAATTGTGGAAGATTTTATTCACGTCATGGGAAATGGAATTAAGAATGCCCAGACTTTTTATCTCGTCACAGAAAATTTAGGTAACGATTACTTCCTCATGGCTTTTATAGTATATCGTTTTAAAATAAATGCACCACATTTAGGTCCGTGAGTTAATTTGTGGATAATTTTCGTTAAAAGTTCCAGTTTTGGTTAATAAATATTTACACTTGTAAAAACGGTATTCAGTTACCGTGGGGTGAAACGTTTGCCCAGTGGCGCAGGGCAGGGGACTCTAAAGCCGGCCACCTGTGTTAGATTCCTGGCCCACGGTGTCGAGTGATATCTGAACTCGTCCCGGCGACCCCTTGCCCCTCCCCTCCCTCCAGTGTGGGTGGGGGTGAAAAACAATTTCCATGACTGGCACGCCATCGCAGGAGATTCATCTAGCAGGAGATTTATTAAGAAAAGGCTGTTAATTATTATTATTGTTGAGCAATGGGGCTACAAGGCGTTGGCAGGAGAAAGCACTGCAGCAAAATCTATTATTGTACTAGACTTAGAAGCTTCCCCGTCTATAATATCTGCCTACACAAACCCCGGACTGACCGTGATGAACTATTGTCAACTAATTGCCGTGGCCCACAGCCTGGGGGAGTCTCCAATACAGCAGCGGACTGTTTGATGGTGAACTAAATGCAGTGCAATGCTGTCAGCAGGACATGTTTCTAACGCTATCTATTTAAAGTGGAAAGCGTTTTCACATTTGCTCTGTCTGTCCATCCGTAACGGGGAGGCACTGTAACACTGGTCAAGATGATCCAATGTCGAACAAACCTGCAGTCTAAAGTTGAGTTCAGTTTCGCGCTTTTACTTTCTTTGAAGTGCAAAATTAACATACGTGTGTTCTCTTCAGTAATCAACATTTACAAGTTCTTGATCACGGAGGACAACACGGACATAATTTTTCCGATGAAAGGCAGGAATGGGATGGTGGAGTGGGCACGTAACTTGGAAGACAAAATGGTTGTGCCAAAGTACGTCATATCCTCTCTCCCGTCAGGTAAGGGACCTTTAATTTAAGTCCGATATATTACATGAAGCACAATGTCAAATCAATCCTGTTTGCGCTTCGTGAACTTAGGGCATGGCATGTAAGTGATTAATTGAATTAAATCCGAATGAAAATGAGTTGTAAAGGTTCAATGCAGTCGAATGTATTGAGATATATATATAAACTGAAAATATGACGACACAGTATTATTTGGGTCTTTCGGTAAAGCCACGTAGATAGAAAAAATAAAAAAAATATGTCACGACGTTTCGATCACAACACAAGCAATTAACCTGATGACGACCGCTTGTGTTGCGATCGAAACGTCGTGATATTTTTTATTATTTTTACTCTCTACGTGGCTTTACCGAAAGACCCAAAGAATATGAATTCCTGCAGCCACGAAAGCTTTAAGTCAAGACACAAAGTAGTTTTATAAGACTATGGAATTGAGTATTCTTAAGAAAAAATAATACTCTATAATGCACACCCCATGGTTCATTAATAAGTAAGTAGTGTAAAATTAATTTGTAGTATCATGTATTGACCCTCCTGTCAGCTTACTAGTGCCGATGAAGCAAAAAAAATCTGTATTATGGACCATGAAGCTGTACCAATTTCTGCCAAGGTTATCTTTCTTTAGCTAGTGCCACTGCTTCACTCAATCTCAATCGCTTTTCTTATAGATCTTTTACCACTCGCTCTATCGGACCCGGTTTTGTGCCTTCCCCTACTGATTTCTTCTGCTTCTGTCTCAGCACCATGCAACGGCCTCCTGTCCCGGCTTATTCTTGTCAGGTTTCTGAACCACTGTCATTTTCTTTCCTTTTTCAAATAGGATAGTAGAATGGCCAAATTAGTAGGCTCTTTGTGCTTTGGAAACACTTTAATTAGTATTGCAAAAACCAAATGTACCAATCTGTGCAAAGAAGGGAGTTTTTAATTAGTGCATATCACCTGATATGAAAACGGAGCATGGGGATTTCGATGCTTGTGTAGAGGTGTTACGGGAGGGTGACACGCGGTTGTAGGGCGGTGGCCACAACCACGTCCGCTACGGCCACCACCCTGGGGGGCTGTGGGGGACGCTGTGATCCCTCCCAGCCCCACCCCTCAGTGAGGGACAGTATAAAAGGTGGGACCTGGAGAGCTGAGAGGGGAGTTCGACTCAAGCAAGATGAAGAGCCAGTGAAGAATGAAGATCGACTAGCCAGACCCTGGAACTCCTTTGACTCGCTGCCCTTTTGAGGGCCGGGCAAAGCAAGCCAGGGTGCGACACCAGAGCCGCGAGGGCCGATGTCCTTCTGAGGGCCGGGCTCGTGTGGCTGGTGGTCGGGACCTGCACCGAAGCTGGGCCAGGTCAGATAGCCTCCTGAGAGAGGACCAGGATAGAGGGAACCAGGGAGCTAGCGTGGGCTAAAGCTCGGGGAACATTCCCTCTATAGAGTACGGGTGAAGAGGCCGCTACCTCTTCAAGTATCAGATTAGCCACTGTACAGTGAAGTGTCTGTAATAAATACGTGTTGCCTCCAAAGAATAAGTCTCCGTCGTCAATAAGGCCACTACACTTTGATTTACAATGAGAAACAGAGAGAGGAACTCATGGAATTTGAGAACAGGTTAAAGTCATCATCACATTTACTGTTAAGTAAGTGGGCATGAGCTGGACACATCGCTAGATGGGATGATGGCCAATCGTGAAGGATAATGATGGACTTGCAGCCAAAGGTGGATGATTGATATTAGCAATATCAATGTGAGGGTTAAACATAAATTCATCATTGCATTTATTAAACTTTTCACTCCATACCAGTTCTGAAAAGTTTTTACTTCCTGCACAGTGCTGTCTTTTAAAAAAATAAAAAAATAATTAAGGATCAATGCTTGAGAAGTGTTCAGTCTTGTGTGAATAAATTAAGATATATAATTACACCAAATCTACATACACATCATTTGAGCTGCAGAATTTTGAATTCACTTTTTTCAACGCCATTCCAGTCTATAAGAAAAGTTCCAATATGAATTAGACTTGTTTAAATATTTATAATTGATCAAGTACAAACGCATCAACCAGCTCTTTATGTAACCTGCTGTGCTACCTTTCTTACTAAGATATGAGAATTACAGCTAATACATATCTTAATGTCAGTAATGAAAATCACTTTTACCATGCATTATTTTACATTTCAAACCTGACATGTATTTTAAAGCTATGCCAGAGTATATATATATTTAACATGTGTTTATATGTGCATATTTGAAACGTGCATCATGCTTTCCTTCACATTTTAAAATGTAAATTATACAAGGACATCAAAACATGTATCGCTATGCAAACTGCAATCATTTACATTTTTCACGTAAAATCTCTGCAGCATGCATTACGTTTTATTACCAGTCAAAGATGTCATTCTTTCTTTAAATGTCAGATCCGCAAGATGCATTGACAATTTTCATGACAGGATTTTGACTTAGCACGTTGCATATCATGCTTTTTTTGTGTCACCTTGCTCCTGAACAAGGAGGTGTAGGTGCACTATGAGTCACCTCACCAGAAATGGGATTAATCATCACAGTTTTGATTCGGCTTTCAAATATGTTGGTGTCATTTCTACTCTCCAGTCTGTGAAGTTGTCTTTTTTTGTTTCCTCCATTAGCCTTAATCTAATATTTGGAAAATTAAAGACACGCCACAGTATGACTGTTGCCATGCAACCCAAACTATGGACCAGTTTGTCAACCACCATAGTTTGCTTTCGTTCAATGGAGGAGGACCTGAACTTTGTCTTTCAGCTCCTGAACATATGAGGCATTTTCAGGAATAGAAAATCATGCAATATTTCCACATAATGTACATTACATGCACATAAATAGTTAATAACTCGTTACTCACACACTGTGATTCGATGTTGTGTGTCATTAGCACACGAGTCCAATTTAATTTGTGAACTGATGCATTGTTACATGGCTAAGAGAGGTTATGGGATGTACTTAATTTATTTGGCTTCGGTGCTAGTCATGAAAATTATATAATTTCGGTAAAAAGAATCATCTAAAATGTTAACAATCGGTTGTAAAATGTTTTCTTTGAATTTACTTAGAAAAGGGAGAATTTGCTGTTGTTGGAAACATTCTCTACAAGAACATAGGCTTGCTCCTTCCAATATCAAGGTGAGCCACGCACCTGCAGACTCGGATGGTTTATGATGCCGCAGATATGAAAATTGTATTAATAAATCGATTTGAATTTGCCAGTGCAATCTTCCATTTCAAAGTATTGTTTTGTCGATACCAAATCCTTACATTTTAAATACTGATTTATTTTATATGTATAGCAATTCGTTATACAGCTGATTAATTTAGTGCAATATTAATGCATTGGGTGGAATTGTGGTGCAGTGGTTACCGCACTGTGAACCCAGCCCTATGAGTTCGATCCCCGGCCATGGTTATCATTGCTGCCGGGTGACGTCTAAACCGGTCGTTGGAAAGTAACGAGTTTCTCAACTCGCACTGACCAGCATTGCGAAGTATGGACAAATTACCCCTCTGACGAACAGAGCACGGGGAAGGCTTCATCCAGCAGTGGATTGAGAGAAAGCTGTACATTATTATTCGGAATAAAAAAAAACTTCTGTATTCTGCATATAAATGAGCTTTTTCATTGTCCTATATTATTAGAAAATATGGCATTTCATCATTAGACCTCTGTTGCCAGTACCAAAATATAATAATAGGGTTTTTCCCCTTTTTTCTGTACGCCTTTTGGCGTCATCTGGTCGAGCACCAATTGGGTCGAGGCTCAAAAGAAAGCCGTCCCTTGGTGTGGACCAATCAGTTTCAAGGACAATGCATATATTATTATGGCATTTTTTTTGTTTGCATTTTGACTGCAGGTATTGTGGTTAATGCAGACATGAATCCTTGTAAAAAGGTTTCAGTTTTGTTGCCAGGAAAAAGGGGAAAAACCCTATTATTATATGGCATTCGTGTTAACAGAACAAATTTTAACTCTGCCATAGTTAGAACTGTCATGAAATAAACATTTACCTGTTTATTGGCTTTGTAAGAAAGATCTGCTAACCTATATGAATAAAATACGATCTAAAATGTTACATGTGAAGACAGTGAAATGTCAGAGCCTCATTATTCACTGCTGGTTGAGTTGAGTTAGTACTAATGTAGTTCAGAAAACTGTATAAGCTAATATTTGCTGAGACATTTATTTTATCTCGCGAAAGACCATGAACATATGTATTATGTGAAAGGACACAGCAAACTTTACTTTCAGTTAGAATTCATGTAGAACTTAATATTCATGTCAGAATTTAATTACACAATTTTGACAGAAGCACATTTTTAAACATTGAAATAAGCTTTTGTTAAATCACATTGGCATACCTTTAGGAAAATGAAGCTACACATTTAAATGTTATTAATTTAACTGAATATGCAATGCATCGGTGACATACTTGTCCATATAAAAATCTAGTTTCTCAGTATTATACTCTTGACATCAGGAATTTAATTATTTATCGCAATGGAATTGCAGATTATGCTTGCCTTTGTAAAATAACACATGGTATCGCAATCCCTCCTGTATTGTCGTTCTTCCCAAGACAGCTGACTTATTTATTCTTTGTATCCAAGCACATGTGTAGCCTGATGCTATTACACTCACTGTATCGGCTTTCGATAAAGGTATCATCCATTATTAGATAAAATTATAGTTAAATTGCAGTTTTATGCTCGGTAAATAAAACTATACACACACTTGGTAGTGAGAGTTTAAGTTTATTTTGCTTAATCGCTTGAAAACTCAAGAGGCCAGTGTGAGTCCCGATTTGAGTAATCTGTTGGTAGTTTCTGAGCTATGTTTTTTTTTCCCACGTAATTCCCATCCCTCTAACCCTCCAACATGTCCGCCGTGGCGTTGGCAATGCGCCTCGTATGGGCATTCAAGAGAGTCCCCGTTGTCTGCCAACATTGTGGCTGTGATTTCTTCGAATGCACTCAATCTCTTTGCTTTCAAAATGTTGGTCACATTTAAAGCACTGTACATCCGTGTTGATAATGTCAAATTGTCGTTGTTTAGCAAGTGCACTGCGCCATCTCTCGATTGATACGCACATGCAAAAAGAACAACAAAGTGCCGCGTTGTTCCCACCTCGCGCAGGAACTCGACGATTGTGAATTCCAAGGTGTTTGCCCTCACGATGCGACCCATGCCCAGTGCCATCGACGTTCCAATTGAGATCACGCTCTCGCACCTGAACAACGTGAGTACCCAGACAGATGTTGCATCGCAGGTTCACCGAGTCCGAGTTTGCATCCTTGCGGTTATATCAATGGTTGTTTCAGCTTAACCACAAAAGTTGGTTGCAATTTGGGCACAAAAAAAGACATTTTGAGCTAGGTTACAGGAACGCTTGATGGTGGTGGTAGCGGCAATGATTAATACGGAGGCACTCTGACAGCGAGTGCTGCTGGGACTCTGGACACCTCCAAAATGTTATAGATGCGGCCTCAGAGACACCCACAGCCTTTGGAATGAAAACAAAAAAAAGTCACGGTACTCTTTGGATTCTGCCTTTTGTCCCTCTCTTCAAGAACGGCGAGACCAGTGCTGATTGCCCATGACGGAAACCTTGAAATACGCACTCATGCTCGAGTGATGGGCTCGGAAACTGACCCGGTTAGCCAATGGTTGCGTAAATTTAAATGTATCATTGCAGATGACGAACTCCTACTATATCTGTGATGGGGGCGTTGGGGGGGAACTTTTCTCATTCTTTCGAACCTGATGGTAATCTAGCCAATAAACGTGGGGAACAAGTCACTGGGTAGAGCACCCTCAAAATCTCATAAGTGTGGCGGTGGCTGCTTGCCAGCGTAATAATTTGCAGAAGGCTCACAGATAAAAGTTGCTTTGTTCATTTGTCTTTGCAGTCAACCACTGAATCATTCTGCGTCTTTTGGAATTACACCCAAATGTAAGTATGCAACTTTTGCTTCATCTCTTGTGGACTTTGCGCAGGAAGGCAGCTCATTTGCATGGTTGCAAATGAAACCGGCCTCATTAGCATTCACGCCAGGGAAGTTGCTGCTTTCACTGACTTACATCCCTCTCTCTGGCTGTTGACACCTCCAGATGGCAGTGAATACTAAGTTTTCTTTGACTGCGACTAATGGCGGTTGATGTTAAATAACACGGCGCATTGTGCGTCGATTATTTGATCGTGTGTGTTTTTTTTTTTGTAAAGAGCAGTGTTGGTATGGTGAATCTGTTGCGACGTCTCCAATCAGGCATCACCCACTGCGCATTTACCCTGCCGTCTTTATGATCTTTCGATTTAAAGCTTTCGTGACTGCAGGGATTCTTATTCTTGGTTCTTTCGGTAAAGTCAAGTAGAAGGGAAAGAATAAAATAATAAAACAATAAAACTCTCACGACGTTTCGATTGCAACGCAAGCAATACAAGCAATCGAAACGTCGCGAGAATTTTATTGTTTCATTTTTTATTATTTTATTATTTCCCTTCTACGTGACTTTACCGAAAGAACCAAGAATAGTCTTTATGATCGTTTAGCATGGAATACATTACGAACGGCTTCTATAGCACTGTTATGTGAAAACCTTTTCGTGCGTACGTATGTTGAACTTCTTTCACACCGTACGTAGCCAACCGTGCTAATCGGAGGTGTGAAAAGTGTCGTACCATCATGTATGCGTACATATATTATATATAATCACATTAACTTCAATAACAGAATACTGTACATTACATGTGATACACATGGAACGCCAGGCTAGCCTATCATATTCAACTACAGTACAGTATCATATTTTACCATTAAACGTAGTACGTCACTGTAAAGGCACAGATGTCCAGTTGAAATGAGTTCCAAAAAAACACTACTTTGTGTGTAGCTTGCAACGCTGTTGGCATGGGCATCACCAGAATTTCCACCAAATCTGTCTCTCATCACGCATGCCAATTAATCGCCTGTCATTGTGCTCCCATTAACATTTGTTCAGTGCGATATGAATATAACCCCATGCAGATTGCTGTACATTTACATTTTGAGTATCATGAATAAATCTAGATTGCTTCACGTGACAGTCCTATGTTGCAATGTGTATGTGACCACCTTGACAACAGCAGTCGTGCGACACTACTGCTGTCATTCTGTCACATTGACTGAAATGTATTTCGCTGGTGATCTAAGACAATAGGAGCATAATGCACTGTTGAGGAAATGCCGATGGAACTTTTTTTTTGCAGTTTGGAAGCGTATTATTAAATAATACATATTACAATTCCTTATGGGGGAAACACATACTAATTAACGGATTACTAACGTAGCATATAATCACAACAACACATTACAACTAATTACTAATCTACAACTCATTACTAATCATAACCATTGACTGATTACCAATCGATTATATAATTACAATATCCCCCCCCCCCGCCTCAAATCACTGCACCTGAATGAGTTAAATGATGACGTCACCCTGCTGCTCTATTTAAGATCGGGAGCAAGTGGAGAGGGCTTTACCATTCTGAGGAATTGCCCGATGACGCTGGATGTAATTACCAGCGAAACGTCGTTCTCAAACTGTAAATGTTGTGGATTCACTCTTCACACCGGTGGGCTAAAGTAGTGAACTATTTGTCTTTTGTCAACGTGACACTTTTTTTGCTGAGTGGCCGTGTCGGGTGTGGTGGAGGGTTGCGACACATTTATAAATAACGCGATCTAACCCAAAAACCTTTATTATGAATTTTTTGTTGTTGCATTTTGCACAATGACCGTGTCTTGTTTGAAACCTTTGGTTCAGTTGTTTAGAGAATAACAACGTGCCCCAGTGCACTTGCTGCATTGATGCATTGTCTCCTGTCATGGGGGGACCCCGTGTAGTCCGAGTGAGTCTAAAATGTAGCCTCCGGAAAAGGTCCCACATTCCATCTTCGGTAGAGAGCGTGCATGCAACCCATTCTGAAAGTGTCACAATTTACTGACGGGATTCGATTCAAGAGCTTAATCTTTTTTTATATCAATTGTACCACCTCATTTTTATTGTTTTTTTTTCCTATCTGTACATTTGTTTTGCTCCATTATCCTAAATGTGACATTAACATATGCGTTGCCTGTAATTTCCCGATGAGAGGAAAATCATACATTCCGAAATAAGTTATTTGTTGCATGCGTCAATGTTAATTGATTGTTCAATGTGTCATCGCATGCCTTCTGAAAAGGATAGCCCCATGGGATATTTTTGTTACGATTGTCACTTCATCACCATTCAGCTATGGGTAAAAGAATATGAGTGGGATTAACAATCTGCAGTGACACTGCAAAAAAAAAACCGCACTGCGTTCATAAACACTGCCCAAAGCAAAGTAGTAGTTGTGGTAAACTCATTGTCTGTTTACACACCGCAGAGTCTGAATACTAATCCTGAGTGACTTCTTTGTGTTCTTCTTTTTTTTCCGGAGGGAATTTTTTTTTTAATATTAACGCAGTGCGACTGCTGGGAACATTCCTGGGACCGTCCGCTCTGTACGTTGGCGTGAATCGCAATTACAAGTGAAACAATTTTAATTGCTAATCGTTTGCGCTATTGTAATTTGACATTCACTGTAAAAATCCACATACACTATGAGTGGAATGCGTGACACCGCTTCTAAGATGTATTTCACAATACTCGCCAGCCCTCTCGAATGAACAGGGGGGAGGGGCATATACTAACCCAGGATGGGGCACAATCAACAAACTTTTAATACAAATGTTTGATGATCTGCTTCCATTTACCCATGCACTCGGCTCTTGAGCCGCATGCAAATATCGTTACCCGCATTTATTTACTTAGACAAATAATTTAGAAGGGTGACTAAATGCTTTTAGCAGAGGTTGGGGGGATGGGGCTCTGCCCCTGCACCCCTCCCTCCCCCTGCAAACACGACAGAGCTGATAGTCCCATACTCTGTAGTACTTATATACAATAGTACATCAGGCGTCTTGTCATTTTAAACGCAGCGCAGAGTGCCTCTGGAATGTGGCGGGAAGACGGGGAGAGGAGTGGTGGAGGAGGGGGGGGTGTAGCAGCCTCCTCGGCTTTTTTTTGTCAATTCCCTTCGCCCCGACGATTTGTATTCACGGCAGGGCCATCATTTTCATACTCGGCGGCTCTGCGAGCAAAGGGGGAGGGTGGCCGTGGTGGTGGTGGTGGTGTGGGTGCGAGAACGCAAGCGGCACGACGGGCCGCTTGCTCTTTCAGAGGCAAGCGGTCAAGAATGAATGCGAGTCGCCTGTTCGTGGCCATGGTCGCGAACCGCCGCTCAGCAAAAGTGGCACAGATGTCAACCCACCACACGGTTTAAATCCCGTGTCCTTGTACAGGGGAATTGAGTTTTCAGGTCCATACGGCGCACAGCCGTTTCCATACAGGCAAAATAATGTGTTGTCTATTTGGTTGTGTTTCTCCCTTGTGATGGGACTTTGTAGGATGAACGTTGAGAATTCATAAGGGGCACGGGGTGACCAATAAGGTCTGAATTGGTCTGCAATAAGGATAGGCAATGATAAAGGGTTGACAGGTACTGTTTGCAGTTGTCTTCGGGCTGGGAGACGGGGTGTCAAGGTTTGTTCGGGAATTCCTGTTTTTGTTAACGTTACGCAAAATGCTGCATGTCATTTGGCGGTACATTTGGCGGTAACAAGCTTGCAGGCAGGGCGGCACTTGTGGGCGCGCTCGTGTTTAATTGTCTTAATGGACGTGTGCCGGTTATTTCCTTTGTGCGATTAACCCGACCAAAATACGATTGGTAATTGCCGAGTGCGGCGCGATTCAATTTGGCCGGTGAAGGGAGAAAGAAGATGAAGAAGAACTCTCTGCCTTTTGTCTCACACGCTCGGAGAATAATCTTGAGCCGTAAATAACCGCACACACCAGCGGTGCGTTGCGGGGCTGTCGCCAAGCCACTGTTTAACCCGCGTGCGTAATTGTTGCAGATGCCGTTTTAGAATGGTAAATAGTCATTTAATTTGCCGTCCAAATTTCAATTAAACGGTTGTGGAAGAGCGCTATAATAGTTGTTGTGCGAGCGTATGTAGCGTGACCAACTGGAACCGTTGCATATGTCGTGTACAGAGGATGTGCTTAAGAACCGGTTGTGATGAGATGTTAACAACCTCGCCTGGTTATACGGGACGTCGTGGATTCGATCCCGACCCTGACGCTTGTTGTGTATTTGGAGTGTGCGTGTTCTCCCCGTGGTTCGCGTGGTTTCTTTTTTATTTTCTGCCCGGGTGTCCTCCGGTTTTCCCCTCCACATTTAGAAACGTGCGTTTAGAGTATGTGTGCCCGCTATACATTTCCACACGAGGAGCCGCTTCATTGAGCTATCATTTGTGGCCAGGTAACTTCTGAAAAAGATCTCTATAGCTTACTGGGCCTTACCTGATTAAAATAAACAATAGTTTGGCTTAGTTATATATTAACGTCTACTTGAGATATATGCGAATGTAATAGCAGACATAATTCTAAGTGACAACAAACCGATTATACAAATTAAACTATGATTATGTAGTTACTACATTATTCCTTATAAATAACATATTTTGACATGTATGTAATCTCTATCAGAGTCACGTGAGACTGGAGATTTTTTTTCTGGCTAACTTTTATTACATTTTTATTGGTCAAAGCATAAAGTTTCTTTTCATGCACCCTCTTACCGACGGTAGCTAAGTCGGCGCGAATATATTCATAACACTGCGTATACGTTGTGCCCAAGCTTGGCCATTTCAAAGCACCATTCATTGTGCATATGCTGTTGGTCATCGGGGGATAGAGCGCACGCAATCTAGGGCATTAATTTCATTATCAAAAAATCACTCATCCGTTTCCGTTCCACCCCATTGCACATCTGCTCAGAGCGGATTTCATGTCGTATCAGCTGGCGGCTCGTTGCTGCGCTCCACGTGTACCAAGCCTCTATGTTTTTGTTCCCAGCCTGGCTGCGCGTGTTTGTTTGCGACGCGTGTCGTGCGCGCGTGTGCCCGCCGATGCAATGAGTGAACGGTGCATCGTGCGTCCGAAATTGTACGCGTCTGTCGCTGATGTGCGCGCTGTGCGCCCGTAAGGCACGGACGTGCGGAGGGCTGGTTGGGACAGCCATGCGCCACCGTGCTCGGAGATTCCTGGCAGACCAGATGCCTCTGTAAAGGCTTCTCGGCATTCGCCATTTTGTCTCCATACCCAACGCCTCAAGAGGTGAGTGCAGACGCTCCGATTCAGTGCGTGAAACATCGCGCCCTCCGCTCTTTTTTTATTATTATTAAACACGCGTTTCCAGATTGCATGCAAATAGTTAAAATGCGGAGCATACCGTTGGCTGTTCCGAATATAATATTTTTGCAAGAAAAAAAATGACTGAGATTTGTGGGTTTATCTTGACAGTAATCTTCCGGCGTACTAAATCAGTAGCAAATCTGAACTGTAAACAGACGGCTGATGGATGTAAATATATTCACGGAGCCTGTTTAATATCTCTTGGTGTTTTGTCTGCCGTTAGTTATGTTCTGTATGCATAATGCATGTATTTAAATCGTGGGGCTCGATTTTATTGGGGTGTTTGATGAAATGTTTTTTTTTAGGTTTCCCGTAATAACGTTTGGGATTTTTTTTGTCTGTCCATTACAATGCGATGTTTTTTTATTTATTTTCGCGGATGCACCCTAATTAATGTTGAGTTGATGGGAATTGGAAGCTATGCAGAGACGTCTCTGCATGGGGTCATGTTGTTTCAGCATAGTGCAGTTCGAGCACAACGCATTTTACCGGCTTAACATTTGCTGTGTTGATAGAGTGTCTACAAATGCCGACATTGTAAGCAATGGGTAATGTGCACGAATTATATTAACTCAAATGCACCTGCTTTGAATTGCTGTTTTGCCTAAGAATTTACGTTGTGTTTTTTTTGTATTTTAATATTATTTGTTTAAAAAAGAGCCAGAGAGAGGGGGGAACAAACTCAGGTTCGAGTGCCACTTGTTATTTTATTACGGCAATGCAATCAATGGGCTTATTGTTAAACGAATAGGGAAATTGTGTAACCGGAATATGAAATGTGCATTTTAGAAGCGAAAAAAGGGTGGATAAAATGCAATCTGATGAATAAGCGAAAGAGGCAATTGCCTGCTGGTGATTCAAACTGGACTCCCACATACATGTGCCCCAGTGTTTCCTGGGAGTGGTCGATAAAGCTTTGATCTTTGCACGGAAGAGGGCCCGCTTAGTGATCCCCACAGAACTGGCCGCTCATCTCTAAATTGAGTACCATTCCTTCACAGTTACCCCCGGGTCATCACAAAAAAGCCCCTCCAATGCAACAATTTTTTTTAAATCTTGTTCCGCCAATTTGACTGCCAAAGCAATTTGGATGGATGCTTTTTTTGTTTCGAAAGAAAAGAACGAAAACATTGGGCGGTCAATGTTATTTTAGCCAACAAATCTACAAAGGAACCTAATAAAACGTAGGGTTTTTTTTTTACAATGTTTACTCTTCTTGCTGCGTTGCTGGTGCTGTGATGTTGTACGTACAAATGTGGCAATAAGGAATAATAGCCAAAGTAACTTACAAACACTGCTGGTATATATATGTAGTTGCTGGTTATCTTTGCTTACGCATTTATCTTCAGTATAATAAAAAAAATGCCATTCGGGTTGTTGGTAAAACTAAAGAATGAACTCCTTACGTAAAACGCAAGCTATATTGCAGCGGTACATATAATCTCCCCTTGAACGTCAGACGCATCGCCAATTAATTGTTAACAACATTTTAGAAAATTATTACTTTATTCCAGTTTGCGGTTATAGTCTCCCCCCCCCCCCCCCACAAAAAAAATAGTATCGTCTGTGGTCTCTCCTCAGCTGCCGAGGGCAGGAAAACCATTAAGACATTGCCCACAGTGACTTTACACCTCCCACAGGCCCAAACGTTATTGTCCTCTGTCAGATTAAAGCCCCAGAATCTTTTCCACTCTGCAGCATTATTTTTCCAATTGCATTCTCTTCACGCGATACATTACTGCCAACAGGAACACGATGCTTGCACATTTAGCACCAGAGATTCTGTCAAGCAGACAGTTTGACAGGTCATCTCAACATTGTGCTACATTCGCTAAATCGCATGGCATACTTAATCTTTTTCTAAGTTGGTCGAATGAAAGTGTCGGTGAATTTGCATGCACCGGAGATAAGTTTCAGATTTGAACGTTTCAGAAATAGATTTCGATTTTCTAGGACAACTTTGGATCATTTTGGGGATTTTGTGATCATTTATTTTTTGTAATAATGTCACGGGTCTTCGTGTGAGCAATCGTGGCATCGCCCGATGCCACGTGGCACCCACTTTTTGGCGGGAAAAGTACAGAAGTGACGTAACATTGGTGAGGTAGTTACCTGTGAAGTCGTACTTTCGGATAAATATTTGTTTTTTGTCTCGATCATCCAGAATTTCAAGTCTACTCTTGAGTGTAATATTTGGCCGATTAATCCAAAAAAATTGTAAACACATCCCTTAGACATATATATACACCCCTTGGCCGCATTCCAAAATTAATACTCATCGTAGTTAGTTTGTAATTGTGATTACCATCTTAATTGTGGTTACATTTTTCGTGGTAAACCGTGTATGATTGTGTTTGTATGTACGTTGAAGATCTTTTGCACCGTATGTAGCCAGCAGTGGCAATCGGAGGTGTGGACCGTGCTAATGAAAATATAAATTCAGTTAAACATCGTAGGAACTCGAACTATATATGTATCATATGTATCGCATCGGTTATTTTTTCAAGTGCAGTTAAACATGCTGCACGATATGCACGCATGCGTTCAGTTAAAACGTCTCGTTTTTTACAGCCAAAGATGGACATTGCAGAGGCATCGTCATTCCCCCTCGTCATTGGATGCGGCGTCTCTTCTCTCGCGCTTGTCTGCTTAATGATCATGTACTGCATCTTTTGGAGGTAGGCTTTTCACATTTGTTTAAAACAAATCAGTCGTGACCCTCTCAAACCCCCTCCCAGGATCCTTCTGAATGACCCTTGACATTCAGTGCAGCTTTTCATAAGTAATTGAAGAATGTGTGGGATTTTTTAAGTCCTTCTCACTATTGTATATTTTCTTGAGATGCACTTGATTTAGATGCTTTTTTAAAATTCAAGTTGCTCATGTTCATAATTTGCGACCCAATATCTGTTTTGTTGACTCACATTTCTCCGTATGAAATAGATAACTTTTGCGATAATAAAAAATGCACGCAAATGTGTTCCAATAACATAAATAGCTTTTCCTTCTGTTTTTGCAGGTCAATCAAATCAGAAAGATCTGTTATTTTGATCAACTTTTGTGTTTCCATCATCTTATCCAACTCCCTCATTGTGGCAGGACAAGCACAGCTCAATAATAAGGTTTGAAATATTTTCATAACAAAAGAAAATGGAACGATATTTCACAGGACTTTTGCAATCATTGACAATTTAACATTTTTGCGAAATGCAAAAATATAAGCAGTTAATCAGAAAAGATGTGCAAATAGCATGAGAATCTAATGCTTCATTCCCGCATTGACATCGTACCAGTGCTCTTTTAGTTTTATATACACGCACAACTAATTCCTGTCTCCCCATATAAATACAAATAGTAAATTTACATCTTGGCTTTGCTAATCTATATTAATGAATAATATTGGTCTATTGGCTTTTGAGGCTAATGCTATTGGATCATATGTTTCTGAAAAGCCAATAAACTAAAACATTTGTATTAACATGTGCAGATATACAATGACGTTATGCTGATGTTTGATTTTACCCATAATGCTCCACGATAATGCATGAGTGTATATAAAATAGCACTTGTTTTTCCTTGATCAGGGCCCCATATCTTGGATAAGGAGCTTATGCCTATAACATCTGGCACAGTAGCAACTTTGATCAAACATGGCCGACTGCTGATGAGACCCAGAAAGTCAAAACTGGTCATGAGTTTGCTTGCTTAGACAAATGGTGCTGAATAATATTGGTATAGAAACCCATAATGCCAATGCGTTAAAACATTTGTTTTGCTATGTGGACACACATTTTTGGGTCCTGCTTGCATATGCTATTGCTCAAAATTTTCCAGAAAAACGCATGATGTGTTTTGTATTCTTTAACTGCAGGCCTTCTGCACAGCGATCGCTGCCTTCCTCCATTTCTTCTTTCTGGCGTCCTTCTGCTGGGTCCTCACCGAGGCCTGGCAGTCCTACCTTGCCGTCACAGGGCAGCAGCGCAGCAAGATCGTCCGCAAGCGGTTCCTCTGCCTCGGATGGGGTCAGTGATCGACTTGTGATGCGTGCCGTGCATTGCAAACACGCGTTGCTGTACGGGCCGAGCCTTTGCGGGTTAAATAAACCCGTTATCAGGCGGAAACCTTTAAATGTTTCTTGCAAACCAGTGCTTACATACCCAATGACCTTTGCGAGCGGTGACACGGCCGAGCGGCAGCGCCTTTTGCCGCTTGTTGCGGAGGTTCGCGGTTCTAATCCGGCAGGCATCCTTGGCGTACTTACCGTAAATTTTATGTGCTGTCCGCTTCACACCGTTCGAGGTCATGTGATATCACTCGAAAGGGTCAGGCAATTGCGTTCTGGCAAACCAAATTTTCAAAATTTGAAGCATTACCTGCAAAGTACTCTGTTGGGGTTATACATAGCGGAAACGTCGTTTCTCGCTGTGAAACTACTGTGGAACGCAGCACTTGCCATGTGCAGAGTAAAGAGAGAGCCACTTGAAATATTATTGTGAGGAACAAGTCTTGAACAATACTCAGCAACGTAAAACCGTATTCCAATTCACCATTTGTGTATGTGTGCATACAACGTGTATATATTGTTTCAAGCAATCTTTGTCGAGCACACGCTAACAGTTTTTTTCTTCATACGCAGGTCTCCCTGCTCTTATCGTTGCTATTTCTGTTGGCTTCACGAAGACAAAGGGATATGGGACCATTCAGTAGTAAGTAGTCTTTACAATTATTTGGTCACGGTGACATTAGAACATTTAATAGCCTCATAAGTCCCGCTTGTGTTGTCAATTAACATAATTTCACAATGAGCCAATTCTAGTTGGCATCTCAAACATAAGTTGCATACATCTGTGGAGTCTGTAGTGGTATAGCCATAGGACAGCAAGGTCTGGCAATTTATTTAATTACGATGCTGCTGATGCATATGTAGAGTAAATGAAAGGGGGGAATTAATGTCGCACTATCTTATCATCTTGACATGTCATGTTTAGCATCTCAGGATCAAGCTTCGGTTACAGAAAGTGTTTTTTGCTCCCTCTTTGTGTTTGTAGTCCAATTGGAAGAATAAATAACACGCCCAAGATTATACAAATATTTGTTTGAGTCGTTGTTGGACATCATCCGAATTAATTAAACTGCACAGAGAATATTTGACCTTTTTTTTTCCTCTGCCCAAACAGTAAATAGTTGAGCCTGTCATGTCTCGTACTTTCATGCTAATGTTGTTATTTTAAATCAGAGCTGCCTCTTATAACCGAGTTGTAAATGCAGTGGGCGTACTCTCCCCTCAAACAGGCAGTGGCAGGGCCCCTGTAATGTCCTTTAATTGTGCCCTCCACTACTGCACATGTTTACAAATTGACTACTCAGCCGTATGCGTGTGCGATTCCCCGTTTCCAAATTCATATCTCATTTGAAAATAATGATATATACGCAGCAGTGTTACCCATGCATTAGCTCTGTCTGTCCGGTGCATGATATCATGATAGTGCTTGTAAAGAAGTATAAAGGTGTGCTGATATTAAGTGCTTACCTTAGAGAAAGCTAGCCAAATTGGTTCATAGCGTTGCCCAAAACTTGAAAGACCCGAAGCAGAGGAAAAAAATGCTATTTGCAAATATGCAATTGCTTTTTGCCTTAAAAGCTAGCAAATCAGCTTCTGTACCGATAATTATGAAACACTTTGTAGGACTGAATACATGATGGAAAGCGTTACAAAAATCAATGCGTGTGCGTGATTTTTTCCCAAATTCTTTGCTTTTCAGTTGCTGGCTGTCGCTCGATGGAGGGCTCCTCTATGCCTTTGTTGGCCCAGCTGCGGGGGTGGTATTGGTAGGTCTATAATACATAAAACATTTAAATGGGTAGGTCTATAATAATTAATACAAATTGGTAGTTCTCAAATAAAATAAATAGGCCTACAACATTCGCATATTTGTGCCATATGCTGTAGAATTATATTCCCGTTTTAATGGATTAATATCAATAATGGTGTTTCCGAATTGATTTAGGGAGTATGACATTTCATTCATGCATTGATTTTGGAGAAAAAAATAACAAAACCCCATTTTGATAATCCAATTTTTTTTTGTCTTACACTAATCGGACTGTCTCCTGTGATTGAAATCCAAATCCATCTCAACCAGTTTGGCATGCAATTGGCTGCCTTAATTTAAGATACTTGGAGGCAGGCTTGAATTAAATGAAAGTGCAAGTTCACTGCCAAACCACCTGGGTGTCGTTTCTTTTGGCGTACACTTGTTTGGACTGGCAATGCGATTGACGTGTTTGTCCAGATACATCTGTTTGTGCTGGCAATGCGACTAATGAGTTTGTCCAGACACTGACCAAGCCTGTGAATTCTTGGCCTGCGCTCGCAAATTTTATGGAGGATTAAGTCCCACGAATGATCTGCATTGGCAGTAACCGCACTAATGTGTTAAGCATTTAAAAAAAGAAGTCAGATTGTATTTCATTTGCATGGGCATTACGTGCCATGACGATGCTTTACAAAGACGTGAAAACTCTGAATAGTGTAGTAATGTCTAAAATTTTATAAAAAATAATAGATCACGACGTTTCGATCGCAACACAAGCAATCGTCTTCAGGTGAGAGAGAGAGAAAGCTGCTGAGACAAGGTCTTATATAGGCCTGAGATGGGTGCATCAAGGTAGGCGGGTGGAGCTAGAGATGGTCCAACCACAGAGGCTGGGGCAGTTGACACCCAGCCTGTCAATACAAAGACATCCAACCTAGTAATGAAACTCAGAGTCAGTTAACATCGTTAGAAAGGATGGAAACATCATAGCAAGTTAAGACTTTACCTGGTTAACCACGTCCTTCCAATGATTGCTCAATTTGTACCCATCTTCTAGGCTGAAGTTGTGTCTGTGTTTATATATCTGGATGACTTCATGAACAAATCTTTGATGATAGCCAGTGGGTTTGCAGAGTACCTTCGTCTTGGAAAAATTAATATCGTGTGAGCCCACAGCATTAAAGCAATGATCAGCCATTGCCGAGATATTGGTCCTGCCGCGTTTCAGATCAGCCTTATGTTCACAAACACGGTCCGAGACGTCGTTTACTTTCCCCAATGTAACTACTGCCGCAGACACAACTTAGTTTGTAGACACCGGGGTATTGCATGTCAGGGATCACATCATTCACAGATGGAATCAGATCACGAATTTTATGTACTGTGTTGAATCGAACCTGGATCTTGTGTTTGTTCATGATTTTGGAAACCTTTTGGTGACCCCTGCTATGTATGGCAAGGTGATGGTTTTGATTGGGTCCTCTGATGTTTATTCCCCACGGTTGGGATGACAGTTTTACGGATTGTGCAGTTTGACTATCCATTCATCTTGAGGGCTTGGTGTACGTGCTCCAGTTCACTGGCTAGGTGGTGCTGGTCGGAGATGCAACGGGCCCTATGGTGTAGGGTTTTGATGAGGGAATTCCTCTGGGCTGGATGGTGGTGGGAGTCAGGTTTTACATAGCCACCCAAAAAAACCTAGAAGATGGGTACAAATTGAGCAATCATTGGAAGGACGTGATTAACCAGGTAAAGTCTTAACTTGCTATGATATTTCCATACTTTCTACTGATGTTAACTGACTCTGAGTTCCATTACTAGGTTGGATGTCTTTGTATTGACAGGCTGGGTATCCACTGCCCCAGCCTCTGTGGTTGGACCATCTCTAGCTCTACCCACCTACCTTGATGCACCCTTCTCACGCCTATATACAGTGAGGGAAAAAAAGTATTTGATCCCATGCTGATTTTGTACGTTTGCCCAGTGACAAAGAAATGATCGGTCTATAATATTAATGGTAGCTTTATTTGAACAGTGAGAGACAGAATAACAACAAGAAAATCCAGAAAAACGCATGTCAAAAATGTTATAAATTGATTTGCATTTTAATGAGGGAAATAAGTATTTGACCCCTCTGCAAAACATGACTTAGTACTTGGTGGCAAAACCCTTGTTGGCAATCACAGAGGTCAGACGTTTCTTGTAGTTGGCCACCAGGTTTGCACACATCTCAGGAGGGATTTTGTCCCACTCCTCTTTGCAGATCTTCTCCAAGTCATTAGGGTTTCGAGGCTGACGTTTGGCAACTCGAACCTTCAGCTCCCTCCACAGATTTTCTATGGGATTAAGGTCTGGAGACTGGCTAGGCCACTCCAGGACCTTAATGTGCTTCTTCTTGAGCCACTTCTTTGTTGCCTTGGCCGTGTGTTTTTGGGTCATTTTCATGCTGGAATACCCATCCACGACCCATTTTCAATGCCCTGGCTGAGGGAAGGAGGTTCTCACCCAAGATTTGACGGTACAAGGCCCCGTCCATCGTCCCTTTGATGCGGTGAAGTTGTCCTGTCCCCTTAGGAGAAAAACACCCCCAAAGCATAATGTTTCCACCTCCATGTTTGACGGTGGGGATGGTGTTCTTGGGGTCATAGGCAAGATCCTCCCGTGTAGTTCTGGGCTGATTCCTCACCATTCTCATGATCATTGCAACTCCACGAGGTGAGATCTTGCATGGAGCCCGAGGCCAAGGGAGATTGACAGTTCTTTTGTGTTTCTTCCATTTGCGAATAATCGCACCAACTGTTGTCACCTTCTCACCAAGCTGCTTGGCAATGGTCTTGTAGCCCATTCCAGCCTTGTGTAGCTCTACAATTTTGTCCCTGACATCCTTGGAGAGCTCTTTGGTCTTGGCCATGGTGGAGAGTTTGGAATCTGATTGATTGATTGCTTCTGTGGACAGGTGTCTTTTATACAGGTAACAAGCTGAGATTAGGAGCACTCCCTTTAAGACCCAAGAGTGTGAATTCCTGCAGTCACGAAAGCTTTAAATCAAGATTTAATATCTAAAAGTATGCATGTATAATGTCCCTTGTAAAATATCTGCTAGAAGCAAAATATACCCACATTTATTTAAAAAAATGCAATATATCTCGTATAACTGAATATACATTCACTTAGATAGTATTACATTTTGCCTTAATTTTATTTTCTTGTAATTCTACTGAGATGTTACAAAGCGTGTGTATTGAAGATGGCACAAAATGTGACAGTAATTTGATGTATGAAATCCATTCATTCTTCACTTCTAGTAAGGGTTTCTTTATTGAGGAAAAAAAGAGGATTCAGAGCTTCTGGTGAGATCGTGACATCCCTCTTTCACTGATGCTCACGCTAATGTATCGTATTAGAAAGCCAGAGCAGCTACATTGAAAACTGATTTATTTTCAAACTATTTTTTTCATTTAGTTTGTTGTCCTTCCCCCGCAACACCGATTAGCATGGTTGGCTTCGTACAGTGGGAAAGAGGTTCAACATGCATACATTTTTCGGTAAAGTCACGTAGGTAAAATAAAAATAAAATAAATGAAAACATCTAAATTTAATCACGACGTTTCGGAGGCAACACAAGCTTCCGTCTTCAGGTGGAAACCGTCATAGCAAAATTGCTGTATCAAGTGAAGAGAGCTCTTAGAGACCCGAGTTTATATACAGGTTAAGGGGGGGGGGAGGAGCCAGGAAGGGTCGTGGGGGGGGGGGCTAAGTTAAGCCACCTTTTGTTATGCTGCAGGGGGTTAGGGGGACGGAGAAGGGGATGGCGAGCGGTTGTCGAAAATGAGAGAAACCAACTGGAAGAAATGGCTGTACAATTATAAGGCAGCTAAAGTTTGACTTGGTTGATGACATCTTTCCAATGATTGCTTAATTTAAAACCATCCTCTCGGTTGAAGTTCTGTCTATGTTTGTATATCTGGATGACTTCATGGACAAATCTTTGGTAGTATCCGGGAGGTTTGCAGAGTACTTTGGTATCGGAGAAAAAATATCATGAGAACCCACTTTGTTGACATACGTGACTTTACCGAAAAAAACAAAGAGTATGAATCCTTGCAGTCACGAAAGCTTCAAATCTAGAATGCATACATTTAACACAACAATACAAGGGATGCTGCCTTGGTGTTATTGTTAGCAGACTGGACTTGCAATGGTTGGGCTGATTGATTTGATCTTTGGGCACGGTGATTGAGACAATGGTGCATGTTTCTTAAACCATCCGACCTCTATCCACCCAGCATAACAGATGGATGCACCACAATTTGGCGGGTCGTGTGTTTTGGATGTCTGGATACCATGGAAAGTCGACCAAATATCTTCGAGAGAGGCTCTCCAGAGCTCTCATTAGTGGAGGTCCTTCCACCAGCAGTGGTTGGCTACGTCCGGTGCGAAAGAAGTTCAGCATACATACGAGTATAGGGAATGTACCTTTACCATAAAATCAAATACGTTTGAAAGCTATAGTATCTTTACTGTTTCACGATAAAGTAAAACAATAAAAAAGCGGTTGCGTGAGTGGACAACATTGACTTCGGCAAAATGACAACTCAAAAATCTGTCGACGGGAGAAGAGAAAAAAATAGCAGCCGTGTTTGGAATATGATTGAGTTGCAATGAATAAGCACATTTCATAAGCAAATGCCCACTGAGCGAACAGCTGGGAATACTTGCTGGCTTGGTAATAATATATGGGAGCAATTTAAAGGCTTTTCCATCAGGAGCTGTCACTCTGCAAGCCGCTTAACTACGGGCGGCTGAGGTTAATCACATCACTGCTAATGGTCGTTTGTACATAATTTGCTGAAAGTTCGTTGAGAGCAGCATACCCTTAATTGCTTGGGTTCCGATGCCTGTCATTCTGTTTGGATGGGAGCAATGGCAACCATCATTTAACACTTAACCAGATTTACCCATTGGTTTTAAAATAAGCCGATCAAATGCCCGTGTGTATATATTTTGCTTTTAATATCAGTTCCATTATGTAACTGCAATACAGTGCTGTGGTATGAGTATGTGCTCTTCCAGAATTAATGAATAAATATCATCACTGCTCTCATATATTTCCCAAACGATATTTAATTTTACACGGTATCAGATTATTTTTGTTGTCTCTCCAAATGTTTTGCGATGTGAGTTGTTTGCAATGGATTAAGTAGTTAACATCTCGCCATGATGTCGTGAAATAACCTCCCACCTCTTCCAGTTCGTCTGGCCAGCATGTGAACATTTGTCAAATATCCTTTAGAGGTGCTGTCTGCAGCTCCCTCGAGTGGAGGCCCTTCCGCCATAAGTGGTGTGAGCCAATAAATGTACGGCTACACCGTTACCTTTTATTGGGAGAGTAGAGGGTTTCGGGTATGTATGTGGGATTTTTTCAGTATTTCTGTATCCTTTGTGGGGGGGAAAAAATAATAATCATGTAACTTTGGTTACGGCTATAATTATGAGTTCAGTGGGGAATACTAATAATAGTTCACAACACTGCTGGATGAAGTCATGGGGATTGTTTGAACCCACTCGCCACGCTGCTCAGTGCAAGTCCGTGAAAGGGGCTGCATAGGATCGGTTTCGTCGTCACCCACCACTCAAATTATCCGTGACCGGATGTCGAACTCATGTCACTAGGTTCAGAGCGCAGTGTGCTAACGACTTGACCACCACTACCACCACCATTCTCAAATCCTCCCCAAAAGCGGTTTTAGTAACTGAAATACTTTTACTTCATGAAATTGGTCTCGATGAGTAAATGTTAATTGGCGAGACAATTGCTGGTCTGTGTTACTTTGGGGTACAACGTCTGGTGACGGGGAAAAAAAACAACACGTAGGGTCGATGCAAAGGAATAATTTAAGTGAAAGCATTGTACGCTTTCTCAACCAATCTAATTGTCACGGTCATAAACACAATTGCATACATTTTTTTTAATACATCATGTAGGTTATACCTGTATTGGCATTTTCTTATAAAGTATTAAAAAATTGCTAAAGGTCAGAATATTGCACGCCACATGGACAAGAATAGATGTTGAATGATTACGGGTTGAACGGTATATTTTGTATTATCCATTACATTGCTTGACAAGATGTGTGTGTTGTCTTTGTGTTTTTTTAGGTTAATATGGCCATCTGTATTCTGGTGTTCAACAAATTAGTTTCCAAGGAGGGTATTCCAGACAAGAAGTTGAAGCACACGGCTAGGTAGGAGAATATTGAAAAACAAGAGATGCGTTATTTTTTACTGAAATATATATATTTTAAAAACAATAATAGTGGATGTTAAGTTTTCAAGTATTTTATTATTTATGCTCATGATTACGACGTAAAAAAAAAATAACGTGATTCACATTTTCACATGGTTTTTTTGTGTTTTTTGGTTGTTTTGTACTTTTTTAAGTTTCTTAATCCCGTTCTTTATAATTTAGGAAAAGTGACGCGCGATGCTATGATTGCGGTTTTTGTTGCGCGTCTTTCTTCTTGGCATTGCTTGTGTTGGTATTTTTAGGCTCCAACCATTTTGCTTTTGGTTTTTTCTTCACTTTTGTTTGCAGTCAGATGACACTTCCGCATAACGGTATGAAGGTCAAATGTTCCAAGTGTGGAGTTGTATCAGGGAGCTCGTTATCAGCCTCAACTGCCAGTAATGCCATGTTAGTCTTTTTTTTGCACACGACAGCTATCACAGTGCATGCACAGCACCGCCCGACAGTTCTGGGAGGGGGAAAGCGAAGGTTGTAACCAGTCAAAAAAATGTAAACGACATCCCCGCACGGTCACCACATCACAAGTGCACAGCTCCGTGAGTGCTGTTATGAATTTCGCAATCGTGCCGCGCAAATTATCCAGGCTATTAATAACGCCCGCTACTGTTTCCAGTTTTCGCTTTCCTTCTGAACCTATTACTGCAGCGTACACTTAATGACATCGTACGAATATGCGATATTTTTGTTTATATATATCGAAAAATAAAATCCGTAATTGTGCACAATTTACACATTTTTCTGCAATTGAACGCCTAACAAATAAAAACACGTTAACATTTTTTTAAAATGTCATGCCGCAGCTGTAAGCACGCTTACCAACAGAATCGGGCGTAAACGTCTCATTTTCTGCCCAACCACTGCCCCCACCCACCCACCCCCTCCCCCCTGAACCCCCGCCACCCTGATGATGCCCCCTCTGCCTGGTTTGGTGGTGGCATGCAGGGCCTCCCTGTGGAGCTCGTGTGTCGTGCTGCCCCTCCTCGCCCTCACTTGGATGTCTGCCGTGCTCGCCATCACCGACCGTCGCTCGGCCCTCTTCCAGATCCTCTTTGCCGTCTTTGACTCCCTCCAGGGGATTGTCATCATGGTCGTCCACAGTTTCCTCCGCAAGGAGGTCAGGCGGGGGGACGGGATGTGTGGTGGGGCGGGGCAGGGCACTGAACGATAGAATAAATCCGCTCTGTGGAGTCTCGCTTCGTGGATCGGCAGCGTTAGCCATCCCTTGCGTTCGCCGCGTTGCCGAGTGGCTTCATCCACCGTCACCGAAGCACGCCTTGTAGGTATCGTGGATGGCCACGAAACCCACGATACCTGCAGCGCTGCTGTGGCTAAGAGGAACCCATTAAAATTTTGATAAAAACCATGGCATTTTTTAGTACATATTCTATCTCCCTTCAATACGTGGCGTGCTGATTATACGGATGATGGGACCTTTATATACAGAGTAGTTCGCAAACAGTAGACTAACTGCAGAGTCAGTTGTGTAGATTTTATTTAGTTACCATATGGTAACAAATATTTCGTGAAGAAGGGGGGGGGGGGTGAATGCTGTGGATCCTCTCTCTAATCTGACAAATGTCCACAGCAAAGCAATCACTTGTAAGATAGCCCCAACTACCCAAGTGTAATTGTGCCCCTGCAATAAAAATAGACGTGGTGGATGGTGTAATTAATTAACTCTTCGGCTACTTCCATTACTGATTATAATTTAAGTGGCAGCTTGGCAGCAAAACAGATGGGCTGGTGGTCTATCAAAATGGTAAATGAATCTTTCAAGATGTGAATCGGGCTCACATGATCCTAAGTCATAGGGAAAAGTTCCATACGTGTTATATTTTCGCTTATATATTTACATTGAGCTGTGAAGAAATACGGAATGTTTCAGCATTCATAAATGTGTCCTTTCCTCGTGTTATATTAATCTGGGAATTTAATTTGTGGTCACTGGGTGTTTGAGTTTGAAACAAGATTAAGTTTAAATGCTGTCCACTCATGCTTGGCAGAAATATGTCTCAATGTCCCCTCCGCATGAAAGTCTCAAAGACACCCAGGCGCCAGCCTGACACAAGGCGAGAGCTGACACCATTGATGTTGACATGCCCATGCCATGATGTTGACATGCCCTTGCCCTGATGTTTGTAATTTAAATTTTCCAGGTACAAGATGCCCTGAAGTGTAGAATTAGAAACACGGCTGACCAAAGCAATGGGGAGTCAAGTGGAACATTTCCAAACGGTCATGCTGAGATTTTGGTAAATCCACCATTAACATTTAATCCTCAGTATTAGTGGATTGTTGGTTTAAGCTTTCAGTAAATGACCTATATTTTATCTCAAAGTGTTTTAATGTTAAGCTGATTATTTTTTTTGCAATGAATTCTTCTTTTAAAACAGTTGCATTTGTGATGTTTCTGACCCAATTTTTGTTTCAAATTTGTTTACATAGTCTGACTTTGAAAAGGATGTTGAAATGGTTTGTAGATCAGGTGAGTTTTTTAGCTTAACATTTTTTGCATTATTTACACATGTATTTTTATTTGTGTAAACTGGAATTGCTCATTACATAAGTGAAACAAAATGCCTACCATGTTCTCTTAAAATATTGTTCTGCTTACTTTGCACCGCTCATGATAATCCGTTTCATAATTTTAATGTAGTGTAACTTATGAATGTATAATAATGCATTAGCCTGTAAGTGTAGGTCAAAGTACCCTCCAAAGTAGCTCCCTAGATTCCTCTCAAATGGAGGACTATTCCGCCCGCAGTGGTGTGAGACAGAAATTGCATTGAGGCACCTTTACCCTCTATTAATCTTTTTACCTAATAATTGATTGTCCTTGATTTCAGATGCATCGCTATATAATTCAACTTATGAGCCGCTGTTATTTGTTCTCACCATTGCCCCCAGTGCTTAGCAAGGATAGCAGCATAAGTCGGACGGCCACAATGACCACGTCGATGGCCACGGACATCCTCCCGGAGCAAACGAGCCTGGAGAAGCCCGAGTATAACCCAGAGGTGGTGAGCCAGCCGGGCTACCTGGTGAGCAATCTCCCAGACATTCAGCTGCAGCAGCTGTCCACCTCCGTGCTGCCCGTGGGCATGAACGATCTCGGCAACTACCACCACCTGAGCATGGAGATGGCGAGCGGGGAGCACGGCCCCGTGTACCTCTGCAAGGGCGAGAACACGCAGGACGTCGAGTTGCTGCGGGCGCAAGAGCGGGCCCTCGCCAGCGACTACGTCGTGCTGCCGAGGAGCGCGCCGTCCTCGCAGGGCGGCGGCCGTGACGGCTTGGAGGGGAACGTCGACGGGGCCGCCCTGCGACGCGTGGCGCGCTTCGACGAGGGCGGCGCCGAGCGTCAGCCCACGGGCGATTGCGGCATGGACCTGACGAGCAGCTTAATGGAGGCCGCTTCGATGAGGCACCAGGGTGCCCCCGCTTTGGAAGCGGCGGCTCATTCGTCCTTGAGATTTGGCTATGGGACTCTCAACAGAGAGATGCTCGGCCAGGTTTTAAGGAGCGAAACGAGCTCGACGGTTTCTCTCAACTCCTTGGAGGTATGTAAATAATTGTTTGAACCGCCGTGTAAAAAAAAAAAACAAGCGTGGCTTAAAGAGGAAAAGAAAATTGGTCTGGCTGGGAAAATGTGCTGTTTGTTCCCAGTGTTTATTCCCAAAAGCGATGTAATTCATTAGCATTTAAAGATGTGCTCTTACTCGCTTGTAAATGATCAGTGGCATTTTTTGTATTTAATATTCCGCACGTTGAAAAAACGTCTATTTTCACATGATGCTGATGTATCTCGTATAAATTTTCAACAGCTGCACTCAGGATCATTTAATCTTATGTAGCCTGTTGTGTTCCCTCCATTTCAGAGAAGAAAATGTAAATATTCAGAATTGGATGTTGAGGTGAGCAGATGGTTTTTGCTTACGTGAATAGTAATGTAATTTCTCTCATGCAGTTCAGTTTACGCTTAATCAGGAGGAAGTGCAAAGCTTTCTGATATTACGTGAACCAAATATGACTTTCATCATGACGGGTTGGTTTTCATATGATGGAGAAATTGAAAAGTGTGTTCCGTTTATGAATAAAATACAAACACGTTTATTTTTGCGATTAAGTCATTTTTACGATTTAATATTCTGTGCGTATCGACCAAACGCACGTTTGATACTTATGATGACCCTATGGCATACCCAATACCAAAACCAAATGGTAAAATACGTTGTGTGCATTTGAGTTTTGCAGATAGAAATTCTGCATTGCATATGTTGGCAAAATTACACACTTGCTACTGCCATTGGCCACTAACTCTTAAATTTTAGCCCTTAAAACTCAGCTCCTTACTAAGCAAGCAGCCCTCTCCGAAAGTCAATTTGTTGACTTCTGGCAGATTCATTCTCCAAATTGAACACTTAACCCAAAAGCCATGAGGGTCGGTGGGAGGGGGAGAACTTAAAAGCATGTGTCTGACTAGCATTTTATTTTGAGCTATTCCATTGGTTATTGCTTTCAATTATTGGATATATTTAACTGGAAATAAACGAATACATTGTGTGTATGTATTGAGTGATGCATCACATCCCTCAGGTATGTGGCCGCTATAAATATCCACGTGGTGATAGCCAGGTCGCTTTTGAAAAAAAGCTACGTAGCTCAGTGGACCTTGCCTGGTAAAATAACATATTGTTTAGTTAAGTTAGCACACTCCCTCATTGTGCACCACTGCACAATAGGCATGTCCACTCCTACCACTGGCATTCACATTTCACCTGCACTACAGGTTACAGCTCTTGCATGACCTGCTCGGGAACGCGGTATCATGTGCCAGGAAATAAACATGTATTTGTTTCACAGCCTTGACGAACATAATAGCCCTCGTTGTATACTCATCTCTTTGTTTAGAAAATTATGCGTACACGCAAGAGGCATTTAGACATGTTCCAGGATTTGAACCAGAAGTTCCAGCACGTCAACAAAGACAGGGATATCTCGACGGTTGATCTCATGGTAAGAATTGAAGAGCTGTAAGTAATCTCTAACAATGCAATTCATTTTTACAACGCTCAACAGTATTATTTTCTGTTGTGTATAATATGGTTGAACGTTAAACTAAGACCTGCAGCTGACAGAACGTCCTTGCCTCTTAACATCTGGCACTTCATCTGTATCGGTTTAAGCAAGCCTGATGAGATGCTGAATATCAAACCTGGTCCAAAAATTGGCTTATATTGGCCCAATTATGCTGAAATGAGGCAGGACACATATGTGAAGGAGACGCATTATCTGCTTATTCCCTCGGTGTTTTTTGTAAATTTGCTCTCTTGTGGTTTTATTTGAATAGAAATCGAGCCAGAGGTGGAGTGTTTCTTCAGCAGGAAGTGAAAAGGTAACTTACATTCATCACTGCAAATGGAGGCAAATCTAGCCGTCTGATCATGAAAATGCAGTCAATGATGCAATGGAATACATTTGTGTTATGCTATTTGTCGTTTCGTATATTGTTCATTGGGATGCTGCCATTGTGTTATAGTGAGAACAATGGACAATCCAGAGGTTGCAAGTATGATTTAATCTCCCGGGATGGCAGCTGAAACGACGATGCAAGTTTATTAAATCCCCCCCCCACATCTGTCCACTGAGCAGTATAGACGGCTACATCAAAGTTAAACGATCAGCAGGTCATGCATGACGAGACAAAGACCAGGCACTCCTACCACCTTCCAATTCGTCTGGCCAGTGTGAAAGAGTAGGCCAAATACCTTATATAGCGATTCTCCAGATTAATCAATTGTAGGGCTGCACTTTTACCTTTTCTGTTTTGTAGTCTGCTGGAGATGTTGAGATATATTTGACTATCCCGATCGATCAATTGTGCACCATGACCATGCAACTCATGGACCACCCTGATTCGCATCCACTGCACAAACCGTGGCAGATGCGGAGAACTGATGCACAAGTGGAAAATGAAAAACTCTCCAGAGTGCGACTGTGGTCACCCAGAACAGACCGTACAATGTATAACGACACAATGCCCTCGATCCACAAATACGAAGGAGACATCACAGCGACACACTCCGCTACTCCTGCCGCAGTTGACTGGCATGACCACCTTGAATGTGAAATTGTATTCGTTGCTCTGCATCTACATCGGCCATACGAAAGACAGAATTGTGCACCGACTCTAGCGTCATCTGTAAGCCTTGCTCAAGTTTTGTTTGAATTTAAAATGTGTTTAAATTTGTCACAATCGTCCTATTCCTATATCCAACTGTATAACCCAGGTTGCTCTGAAAAATAAACTCTTGTCTCAGCTCTCACTGGGTCATAACCTGGTTCAACATTAAAGGATCTGCATGCTATATTCCATTTCCTATGAAGCCATATATGGATGGCTTCATGATCGAATCTTTGTTGATAGCCAGTGGGTTTGCAAAGTACCATCGTCTTAGAGAAATCAGTTTCGTGTGAGCCACCTGCATTAAAATAATGATCAGCCACGGCAGAAGTATTGGTCCTACCGTGTTTCATGTCATCAGCCACTTTGGGTCATGACTTGATTTGTGTTTCCATGTTATGTTACCCCAGGGCACATATGCCCCGCCCACTTCTTTGAGCCGCCGGAGCTCTTGTGCCACGCCCATTTCTGAAAGCTTTATAAACGGTTGCCTTCGGTGACTTTCTCCCTCTTTCCTTCTGAAGACGCTCGCTTGTGTTGTGATCGAAACGTCGTGGTTTTTATTTTTATTATTTTTTTCTATCTACGTGACTTTACCGAAAGGACCAAAGGATATGGATTCCTGCAGTCACGAAAGTTTTAAATCAAAATTTTTACGGTCTTGTTAAAGAAGCCAGTAAGATACATTTTGTGTGATTTACAGACTTGTAGAAGGGGAATAGTGGCAATCCAAATTACCATATCTGTTACATTAGATTCACGACTGTGTTACGCATGCATTACACATACCCCAACCCCCATCACTATTTCTGCCCTAAAACATGTATTGCATGTGTAGTACTCTTTGTTTTTTTTGGTAAAGTCACGCAGGTAAAAACTAAATAAATAATAAATGAAAAACTTTCGGGAATGAAAACAACTAAATTCTTTTTAATTTTTTTTTACCTACGTGACTTTACCGAAAAAACCCAAAGAGTATGAATCCTTGCAGTCACGAAAGCTTCAAATCTAGAATGCATGTGTAGTGTCAACAATTCAGAGACAGTTTCCACGGTCTTGTTCGCACACTCTCCACAGTAGCTCAGCCTAGCCTGTACATTACCCTAGCCATCTAACACTGACGGCGCTGACTGAGATAGCCAATTACTCTCCTTCGTAGCACAATATGCAGCAGAGACGTTTAATGACGACAGCGATGAGACGACAGAAACGACGAGGTGAGTCCATATTCTTGGTTCTTTCGGTAAAGTTACGAAAGCTTTAAATCAGAGACGAGTCCACTCCCAGAACCGGCAGCCTCGAGCCCCCGCTGTCGGCTCCTTTTATGCTCCCAGCACGGCCTGGCTCCGCCCTGAATGCGCCTCCCTTTTCGAACCCGCTACAAGGTTCTAGGGGCCTCCAGACGGGGTCCTCCGTGACCCTTGACCAAGTTCCTCCCCTCAGTCCTACCCCAACCCCTATCACTAACTACCCCTACCCCAACCCCTATCAGTACCACTACCCCAACCCCTATCACTACCACAACCCCAATCACGACCCTAACCCATGCTTAACCTCCCCCACCTTTTCTCCTGACACCATAAACTGTCTGAGTACTTTGAAAAACCCCACCCTGTAAAGTGCCTTGGAATAAGGCGTTATATAAAATATATAAGATTCGATTTAGAGACATATCCTGGAACAAGACAGGCTCGAGCAATAACGACTGGAAACATGTTTAAAAAAAAAACGGCTAAACGAATTCAACGATAAAAGTATGTAATTATTTTTTTTAATATAATTTCTTGCTTCTTTGATTCTGAATAAAAGAAGAAAATCATCGCTCTTCTACTTTTTTACATTCAACTCCTCTCGGGAGGGGCAATTATGTTAAAGACAGTATATTTGTCATTTTACGTTGATTGACTCTTGTCATATGTAATGCCAAGTCATCCCTGGTGGCAATACATCCTTTTTAAAAACAGAGAGCTCGCTTGGACGGGTGTGAAATTCGTAACTCGAGACGGAGCTCCAGCAGGCGTCGTCTGCCTCGCGTGACATTAAAAAGCAATCCTCAATCATCTCGCTCGTTCATGTGCCCCCTTCTGCCCCCTTCGCTGCCCTGCAATGGCCCAGGAGAAGCTGACCCCGAGCCGCAGCGCGTGGGACGGACAGCGCAGTATGTCGAACCACATGTCGCCCGCGTGGAGCGGCATGGCCTGCCAGTCGCAGCCCGGCGCCGCCGAGTGGGAGAAAGCCGTTGGGCCTCTGCCCCTGGTGGCCCACGAGGGGGACATTCAGACGGAGGTGTAGGAACGTGGCGACGTCTTGCACGTGTCTCCCCCCTCTCCGCGACTTGGAGGTGTACAGAGCAAGAGGACTTTTACCGAACGAACGTTGTGTTTGATACCAGGCCCCCGTGTCCTGCTGTTGATCATGATTGTGCTGCTTTATAAATACACGATGCCATTTATCATCCCCCCCCCCACCACCACCCCCGTCGAAGCAAATTGCGTGGTTTTGTTTAGTTGAATGTGTTACAGCGTTCTAACATCATTTTTTTGTTGTTGTGCCATTTGAGTTGATATATTACAAATGTTAGGAATGAAATTCACCCAAATAGTTGTTTTTCTCCTATCACTGCAATTTCAGTATCTTGCAAATATCTAAATTTTACTTAAGGTATGCTGATATGTCGATATATTAAAGTTACTGGTGTATACCAGTATGGTATTTTTTTAATATATATTTCTGAAAATATTAAAAAGCCACCAATGTGTTGTGAAGTAATGTGGAATAAACGTGTTTCATATGGTATATTTTCCAACATTGCCTTACATAAAATCCTATCGGGCAGCCAATGAATAGCATTTTAAACATCCTTGTTTGATCCTTATGCACATGTAATATAGATTAAGACAGCATTCTATAGAAGAATGTACACATTTAAAATTTGCATAAGATCACGTGGGGATATCCTTAAACTCTTTAAGGTGGTTATGTAATGGACTGGAATAAAGTAAACATTTTTTTATTTTTTTTCAGATTGTTTATTTTATTGCAGGAGATGGTACGTTTACATAAGACATGCAGTGAGAAAAAGATACCTAATATATATAAAAAAATTACTACCTTTGGATACAAATAGATATGATTAACCTTTTAATTTGCATTCACAAAATATGTATAATAGAAATGCCACTGTATATTTACTACAAGAGTCAGCCTTAATTGGACATGCCATCGAATTATAAACTAGAAGGTAAAATGTTATTACATTGACAATCACAAAACAGGTGTGTAATACATGTGCCCATTGGCCCTTTTAAAATGTAGTTTACCACGGAGTATTAAATATGGTGACGTATGATTAGACTTTGCTTATATTTACAGCTTTAATGTGTAAAAAATAGCATAAATTATAACTTTTTAGTTTTGTGTTTGAACTCCCATTTTCAAAAGCATCCTCTCGACTTGCCAAGTTGTACATATAACCTACCTTATACACTGTCAACACAGAGATAACTTATTTTTTAAAATACAATAATATTAAATATAAAGTCTCGTAGATCTTGCAAGTTTTTTTTCTTTGTTACATGCTCTTAAATCTTTCATACAGCGACCTCCGTTTGCGTTTGCAATAGCCATGAATAATTTTTTTTGCACAATTTTGCTTTTACAATGAGTAACAAGTCACACGAAAAAACAAACGCTACTTATAAATAGGATTATTAAAATAAATTTAAAAAATCGCTTGGGGCTGATGAATTTTAATTTCTGTAAAAAAATATTTATGCATTCAGCTTTCCATCTGCACTATGGCATACATTGTATAAATTGTGCTAACATGTTTCTTTTTTTAACAGAACAAAAAAACTTATACTATTAAGCAACCTATTGTACATTGATATAATATGTAAGCAGAACATCTAACGGTTTAGTTAAAAAAATAGGATGAGTATATGTTTGGCTGTTTTATTAACAATGTATTATTCAATAGAGATAAAAATTGATTACGTTTTTCCCCGAGCTAATGGAACGCTTGGGTTTGTCATTTATTTATAGTAGCTTAAAAACTGCTATTTTCTGATGTATGAAAGTTTGTAAGCTGTACAAGGCTTCAGAGCGTTACTAGACATGTAAAAACATGTTTATTAAAATAAATCAATTTATAAATAAAATATATTGTGCCCAAGTTCTCGCAATTGTAAATATTATTTGCACACATGCATATTTATAATTGGGTGTGCAGTGGAAGTCACGTTTGAGTGATTTCATTGGGTGTGTTTTTTGTGGATGCCTGTGCTTTGCTAACTTATGAAAGCCACACTTATTCATCATCTACAAGCTAATTTCACTGCTTAGGGAGGTAAACGAAGCCATGCATCGAGTGTCTTTGATTGCTATTATTTTTTAACGTACAATAAAAAAAACGCAATCATAATTTCAAGCCTCATTTCAAATCACACGGTACATTAAAACTCATTCAAACAAACGTGGTAATTGTGAAGAAATATGCATGCCATAAAATTTTCCGTAAGGTGCCCTTTCACTGTATTATATAGTTTGTATTTTTTATTTAAAGCTTTCGTGACTGCAGGGATTCATATTCGTGGTTCTTTTGGTAAAGTCACGTTTTATATATATAATTTTATTGTTTCCCTTCTATGTGACTTTACCCAAAGAAGGAAGAATATGTAATATATAGTTTGTGTTGTAATGTTTCCACTATTGCTTCATTGTTCTAGTCATGTCATGAGATGAATGCATTTGCATTTTTTTTACAAAGCAGTGCATTCCTACTTATTAGAGAACGGCCTATGGAAGTGGATATCACGGAGCTACCACTGAGATCCTCTCAAGTGTCATATGGTTTAAACAGTCGGTGGTAGCACTTTTTTAATCTGCTCTGCATATTAGTGTATTGTTCAGTCAAACCAATAGATTAATTCTCAGAGCTGAAATTTAACCGAAATTTGGTGCAGCACCAGGTTTAATGTTTCTTTTTGGATGCTGTTAATTTGAATCGAGATACTAGAATAACTCTAGCTTTTCAGGTAAAAGTAATCGATAATTTAATTACAAGAATTCCAACAACAATATAATTTCAATCTAATTTACCAAAATGTAGGAAACAATCACTTTTTCCACCTGATACAATAATACTAAATTCTACCTCCTGCAATAGGTGATTTATATGACCAATTGATACAGTATAATTTATCACCAATGCAATGTACATTGATCTAATTAAGAATAACCTATCACGAGGTCTGAGTGTTTGTGAACACCTGGTGATGATGTTTGTAATCCATAATAGAGGTTTTGGGGTTAGATCGCGTAAATATATAAATGTTGTGTTGTTAAAACCCAGCACCACCCGACACAGCCAACTAGTAAGGGTTGTCACGTAAACAGAACGTGACCAATTCGTCACTAGTACAGCACACTGGTGTATTGGAGAACCAAGCCACAGCATTTACAATCCAAGTACGATGTTTCGCCAGTAATTACAACTAGCTTCATCAGGCGACAGCCAGATTTGTGGAGAAGTCCTCCTGTTTTGTTCCTTATATAGAGGCGTAGATGTGGTGACCATGCTTCTGCACTCTTGCACAATGGTGGGGGGTGATTACTGAGGCAATGTACATTATGCATGTGCGTTATGCGAGCCCTTTGAATTTGTCCTTCCTGTCTAATGTGTTTATTAAAATAGCTCTACCAACGGTTATCCCTATTGAAGTACGCTGCCTTTTGTAGGCATGCGTTTGTAGTGGTGTTATTTCACACGGACAACTTATTATTTTCTCGTGTCACTTTATTCGTACAGAACTCCTCGCGTTCAACACCACGCGTCTCCGTCGCAACTCCTCCGCTTTTACTGCTCGTCTGCTACGTTGCCCTATGCCAGCTTCTCCACTGCCAGCCTCTCACTATACACTCCGCTAGCTTCTCCACTGCCAGCCTCTCACTAAACACTCCGCTAGCTTCTCCACTGCCAGCCTCTCACTATACACTCCGCTAGCTTCTCCACTGCCAGCCTCTCACTATACACTCCGCTAGCTTCTCCACTGCCAGCCTCTCACTATACACTCCGCTAGCTTCTCCACTGCTAGCCTCTCACTATACACTCCGCTAGCTTCTCTACTGCTAGCCTTAGCACACTCACACTTAGTATTCCGCTAGCCTCTCTACTTCTAGCCTGTCTACCCTCACTCCTCCAACCTCGCCCGTGCCTCCAGTGGGGGGGAATCAGCCAACACCGCTGGAAAGGACGAGGTGTGGAGAGCGGGGTCCCGGACTTCTCGTGAATTCGCTCTTGTCTTCACTCCAACCAACTCAACTCCTCTGCCTCACACGTTCCCCTTTTATCCCCCTCCTCATTAAGTGCCCCCAGATGGCCCTCATTAAGCCGGCGTCCTCCCCACGCCTCACGCACGTGTTCTCCCCCACGTGTTCTCGCGCACGTGTTCTCCCCCACGTGTTCTCCCCCACGTGTTCTCCCCCTTATCGCCACTATCTCTCGCCTCTGTGGCGCCTACTCCGCATTTACATTTGCAGCCAGCCAATCACTGTCTCTTTCCATAATTGCTGGCGTTTCTCTCTCTCTGCTGTCACCCAGGCCACCCGCCTGCACCTGCTTATCTTTAGCTGACCTCACTGTCTGCAACCCTGTACATAATGCAACTGATGTTTGCAAACTCTGCATGCGGTACGCCACTACACATTAAAATAATGTACTATTTGATTATTCACTTCCACACAGCACTAAGGCGGTAGCTATCCAAATGGTTAACGTTATTTTGATTTCTTTCAATTTCGATATATGCTCTAATTATTCTTAGCCAGTAGTAGCTAGTTTTGCACAAAACTTAAACATTATCAAAATCAATTGAGTATCCTTGTTGGCACGTGTGTTCTGTTACTGCTGACAGTTGTATTTTGGAGAATTTAATATTTCTCTGATGTTCTTTTAGTCTTGTGCTAATCATTCGTCCTATTTGCCCAACATAACATTTACCACATGTGCAGTTAATCCTGTACACACCGTCTGTTGGTAGCTTCGGTAATGCACCTTTTGTACCAGATATTAATTTCTGTATTTTATGTACCGTGCCAAATCTGACTCGGATGTTTTGTTTTTCCAAACATCCTGACGAGTTTATCAGTTACTCCCACAATGTACGGTATTTTGATCGTTTTAATTACTTGGACAGTTTCAATGCTCGTGTTGTTTTATTTGGTTTTGGTATTCGATGCCCTCTTGATTTGTGCATTATTGTGAAGACGAGTCGGAAACTGGTTACGAACTTGTTTATTCTTCAACCCACAGCCACACTCGTAGCTGATCACACTTGTAGCTGATCACTGTTACAACGCTGTGGGTGATCACGATATAATTTTCTCAGATACCAAGGTTCTTTGCAAACCCACGGGTTTTTATCAGAGATTTGTTCACGAGGCAATTCAGATTTACAAACACAGACACAATTTCAACTGAGAAGATGGTTTCAAATTAAGCAACCATTGGAAAGATGTTCTAAATCAAACCAAACATTAAACTAATTTTCAATGGTACAGTATATATTTTTTCAAGTAGTGGTACCCCAAACTTTCGCAGCTCTTAAAATTCCCTTTTCACACCATCGAAGTGTATACCCAGTTGCTGTCAATAGCTCAGCTTATTGAAGAATATATTGAGTACATTTATTATATTGATGTACGATAGTTGGGTAGCGCAGCCCCTTTGGCGTCCATGTTCTAGGTGCCTCTGTGGATGTGTAAACTTTGACTTTAACATAGCTATTTCTGTGACCAGTCACAAGCTAATCCCTCAGCTATTTCAATGCTAAATTCTCCTGTTTGATATGTAAACTCCTTTGTCAAGGTGCCTCACTTCTCTCACCCAGCTTAAAAAGACGCCACGAATCTTAGCAGCGTTCATTGAAGCTCTGTCGTCCTGACAGTTCTGTACCTTCACCTGAAGAAGGCTACTTGTGTTGTAGCCGAAACGTCGTGATTTTTGTTTTATTTTTTACCTACGTGACTTTACCGAATAGAACCAAAGAGTATGTCTCACAGCCCCTTTTAAACCTTCCATCTCCGCCCTCATTCCCATACAGAGATGTAGTGCAACCCATAGCGAGGTGCGGGCTTCCTCCACCACTGGCAGCATCACTCCCACTTTCTGTGCCATGGCAAGGAGCCGCTCAGCCACCAGCGATTCCAGGCCTGGCTCGTTGAGCTGCGGGAATGCGGCTTCTACCAGCGTCAATAATTCTGTCCTGAAGACCACGAGCGATTCCGATGCTTCCCACTGGCAGTTTTTAAACTTCTGGCGTGCCCCAGGGATCCTCTTTTTGCAGGCTGAATCCGGTCGAACACTGCCAGTGCGGGGTCGTCCAACACAGTAAGCAGCATTGTCAGGGCTTGTTCCTCCGTCCACTTATTTGCCCGGGTGGCTGTCTCGAACCGGCGGACGAAAGCGCGCCATTCTCCCGATCTGGACGCGGACCTCTGTATCGGGCCCAGCTGGTGGTTCCATTCTGGTCCTCCCTCCGTGGGCTGATTTTCACTCCTGACCTCTGCCCTCGCCCGGTCAGCTGCTCTCCGCTGCGCTCCAGTCGTTAATGTCCCCCGGTTGCCACTGCTGTCGGTGGATATCGGGAGGACAGGCCAGGGTTTTCTTCCAGGTCCCGCGTGGGACGCACGGTCGGCGGCATTACTGGTGCTGCTCCATCCCCTGATAGATGCTGCGGAGAGCCTGGTCGGGAAGGCTGACCGTGGTTCCCGTCCGCTCACCGGGGAGGCGATGCAGCTGAAGTTCCTCCTGCTCATTCGACCTCAGGACTCAGCTAGCAAAGCAGCGTGGTTACTGCCTCCAGCAGCTGATCCCTAGAGGATGATCTGTGGTGGCGGCAGCGCTGGGTCTGCATTGTCGGGTTGGTGTAGGAAGGTTCCCACATGGGACGCGCAGCTGCCATGGATCCCGCCGATGAGCCGAGGGACGAATCCCGACTCGTCGGTTCCGTTTCCAATCAAATCTCATCCCGGGCACCTAGAGGGTCTTCCGGCTGAGTCTCGCCCTTTGGGATCTTGCGTCGGCTGAGGTTAGACATCCCACCGATGCCACTAGATGAAGAGGAGTCGGAGACTAAAGCCCTTGTTTATTCTTCAACCAACAGCCACTCTCGT